ATGATGCATAACTAGACACATAGTCGGTAGTAATTCCACATTATCCTGAAACAGTCTACTAGTATGCAGTGACAGATTATGTAAGAGAAGAAAACAATTAAATTTGTACCAATACAGATTGTGTACCACTAGCAGTACCAGTAGGCCTCGACTGTGTATTCTCTAGGCTTAGTACATGCACAGGTTTACTGTTAGATACCGTCACTGTTCGATACCGTAGGCCTTTCCAGGACATTAGTCTCAACATCATTGTGGAGGTCTTTCTGGTCTTCAACCCCCTTCCACCCCCTCCCCCACACCGCTTTGTGGTTATACCGTGCTTTGAAACCCCCTCCACCCCCGCTTTGTGGTTATACCGTGCTTTGAAACCCCCTCCACCCCCCCCCTACTCTTTGCATACATACTAGATATGGTTAGCATTTTACTGTTCACGCTAAATCCAACACATTTACGTGATGGTTTGACCATCTAACTATTCATTTTTACAGTCATCCACACAGCCCCCCCCCCCCCCGCCCCCCCCCCCCCCCACCTCATTTAAACAGTAATCCACCCCCCCCCCCCGCCCTACTCTTAGCTACATGTAGTATGCTGTTGATAGATACAAATAGTAGTGTAGATATTTGCCATTCCCACTGCACATGTCCTTCAGGTCATTGAGCTATGAGACTAGCAACTGCTGCTGTTCAGACTGTGCATTGATAGTGTGTATGGGTACTCTACATGTGTGTGCTGTGTTCCATATTAGCGTGTTTTCACTTACATAGCAACCGGGTTGTACATGGGGTAGTGGTCTACCAGAATGTACTCACAGAATGTACTCAGTATACCGTCACACCACACTCGCAGCCACACGCTGGCCAAAAACTAGGCCAGAAGTAATAAAGAGCAAGGCGGCCAGCAAGAGATATGTCAGTGCAAGTCACGAGCCGAGCAATGTCCTGGTGTGGGTGATTGGCCAGTGGGGGAGCGCCTGAAAATCCGACTCCCTAAATTTCCAGCCACGACCGCTCAACCGGGCTGGGGGGAAAACTCGCCTTGCGGCCAAAAAACCCTTCTACTAATATGGGACCTGCCCCACTGCCAGTCACACCCAAAAGAAAAACCGAAGAGAAACAAGCAGAAAGGAGTAATCATACAACCAAAAAACACCGAGACCCTCGGGACAGAAACACACAAAACAAAGTATGCCATGGAAAACCAGTAAAACAGCACCCAATGGAAGCCCAACAACGTACGGGACCCAAGGGAGGGAGGGCGGGAAAACTCCACGCTTTACGAGGAATACAAGACCACGATGGCAGGTGGGGGAGAGTTGCGCAGTGGAAGAGCAGCAGAGAACGACAGAAAAATGGTGAGTGAAAAATACGTTTTTTACACTCTTTCGCTACGCTTAGCCGTGAAAACACAACACTTTTCTATATGCGTATCGGGACGGTATGGCCGGCCTATCTTTGCTCTTGGTCGGTGTGGCCGGCCTATCTTTGCTCTTGGTCGGGGAGACCGCTTATTACACAGCTTTTGGGGCTGTGGCTTTATCCTCGAATATGGTGTAACATGCCAGGCCTGTTCAAATGGAGAGGCACAAAATGGCCTGTTGATGATGTGCATCAAAATGACTGGGAGTGCATGCTGTGACGTATCTGCATAAATTCCTGTCCATTGTCCCATATGGTTGATAAATATGGTGGTAAAGAAACACCCGGCAATATGGCGGTAAACACACGCCTGCCCACACACGCTCTCTAGGCTGCAAAGTTCTAGCACAGAGCTCTCCTTCTCACCACCACCACCATCAGTTCGCGCCTGGCGCCTGGTCGATGCATGGTCTGCGGTATCCGGCATAGCAAGCTGGTACATCAAGTAGCGCATGGCACATAGAAGATGTGTTTACCGCCATATTGCCGGGTGTGTCTTTACCACCATATTTATCAACCATAAGTACAGCTGCAGTGGTGTCTTCAACTTCATTGTCCCATATGATTGGACTTGGCAGTAATAGTGTTATGTAGTGTATTTCACTGATCTTTCAAGTAGAGAGAAAGTGTACAAATCTCAGGCAAGCGATTTGGACCACAGTGCGGTGCCTTGTCAGCACTATGACGTCTTTCACTGTGTTGGGGGGGGGGGGGGGGGGAGGGTGTATGTGTGGTGGTGGTGGTGGGGGGGGGGGGGGGAGCATTGTATGTGTGTGTGTGGGGGGGGGGGGGGGGAGTTAAGTTTACGGAACGGTTATGTCCACGGCTTGGTGCCTCTTGTGATCACTATGACAGACTTCATTGGGTGTGTTTGTTGGGAAGGGGGGGGGGGGGGGTTGCATGTGTGACATGTGTGTACTTGTATGTGTACTTTACTGAATGGTTACATTTACATGTACATTTCATCCAGTGAGGGGTGTGACATACCTAAGGTGCTGTGGAACAGTGACCTGTTCCTGATATTCCATAGAAAATTGTTGTCAAAGTCCAACACTACAGTCAACTTCGCTTATAACGACACCTGGCGGGTCATCAGAAAAGTATCCTTATTCACGAAGTGTCCTTATACCCGAAGTCTCATTATATGTGTCACAGTTGGATGGGACTTTGCTCTGGGCATGAAAATTCTGTCGTTATTCGCGAATTGTCGTTATATCCGCAGTCGTTATTAGCGAAGTTGACTGTAGATGCATGCAAGAGTACTAGTACATAGGGTCTTTTATACTCTTTAAAATGCATGTCATAACAGTGTCAGACTATGAAGTATCAGGTGTGTAGCCAGCAGTGCTTCATGTGATAGCAGTGTCAGGCTATGAAGTATCAGGTGCGTAGCCAGCAGTGTTTCCAGGTTGTCCGGAAACCCCTCGGGGGTTGCAGCGCGGGCACCGATGCCTTTGAAAACTGCAGTAGTTCTCGTCTGAGTGCATTTTCTTCGGGGTAACGGCCTCTTTTACGGGCAAGATAAAGTCATTATGTGCATGTAGATGTGAAAATAATGAGTGAGTCCTGAGTGCATGCATACATGACAAACACGTACATGTACATGTATGTAGTCACGGAAAGTACATTGTACTGTCATAGAGCCAGTGCATTGACAATAGCTATGTGAAGTCCCAGACTGGGCTTCTCAGGAGCTCGGAATTTGAACATGCCCTACAGCTCTTTGACGGGGATCTGCCCCTGCCCGCCCCCACCCCCCCCCAAAGGGGCTCCCCCCCTTGATCCCGCTTAGCGACAGCCTACAATGTTGGAGCCCTATCTGGAACCCCTCCCCCCAAAACACCCTCCAGGCTACGCGCCTGAGTAAGGAGTGCAAATAATTGACACAGTCCCACCATACTGCAATGTGAACCATCTGTCCAGTAAAGTGAGGATGTGTTGCTTCTCAGGTTCATACTAGTCTGCATGTCAAATTAGTGGAAGGTACTGGAAAGGTTGTCATGGTGATTGGAAGATCACCTCATTACACCATCCACTTCTCCGACCTACATGTACATTTCCTGATAGCGGGTATAAGTGGTTGAACTGTGTGTGATTGCCCTGGACTGTCATTTCCCATCAACACCATGCAGCATGTAAACACGTACGTACACACGTACTCATGTACTAGTAAACAATAATAGCAATACATCACGAAATTGAAGTACACCACCTCTCTCGTTAGTAGATAATGTCTGGGACATCAAAAACAAGTTGTCTTATGACGAGACTTATCTTGTATAACATGACTTGCAAGTAAAGGTACAAGAAACAGTAATTCAGACTTTTAGCGGGTACCCTCATACAACAGAAAATACAACACTTCAACTCGTTATTTTAAAAACATTAATTTTTTAACAAAATCTCGAGCACCGCTGTTCCTCACAGGGGCGCATCCTGAGATCTCTATAGGAGGGGGGGGGGGGGTTCGGGTTTAAGCAAAATCCAATAGCCAATATACATGTATGTATGAGATTTTGCCTGAAGAAGACAACGGTTGTGCGGTTCTAATGATTACGACGATCCGGTTGTGTTAGTTGGCATGCTATGAAACACTAAAAATCTTCAGCGGGGAAAGCAATTCAACTCACTACAGACCCTAAATTATAATCATTTGCAATCTACTGGCACACAGCTTCAGTGAGTGCTTGGAGAACTGTTCAACTTCTTGTAAAAGAATATGGGTAAATTGAGAGCCAGGAACGCCGAAGTGATCGCTGTCCTCGTTCATTTCTACTTTTGGAAACGTATGGCATTTTATGATACCATACGAAATGCTCGAGCTCTTGAATCACATACTAGTAAGCATTGTCTTCACTTGACAGAAACAAAAAGACAAACGTGTTGATCGGTTGACAGCATGTTACAAGGCGGAGTATGCACTATGTTGAGAGCATTGTAAAACCTGATCTGCCAAACAAGGCAACCCATCCAATGTTATCAAAAGTTTAAAAAACACACTGCCTGCGCGGAACTCCGTTTCTGCCGAGAAACCACTATTCATTAGTGCAGGTAGAGATTACCGACTCCGCTCGGAAACCATAGCTGCTATCTTCTGAAGAGCTTGAGCTGGATGAGTATAAGCCGCACAAGAGTAAAAGCGTACCTGAACGTTTGTTACAAACATGTCTGTATATTTAAGTTAACACAGACATCTGCATATCACCGTTTGATTTCCACTATAAATAAATAGAAACAACAACCATACAACAACCGTTCATTTGACCATCGTGGCATAAGCCGTACTGACTTTTTGGAGTAAAGTATGTGTGTTCAAAGGTTGGACTTATACTCCGGAAAACAGGGTGCATGCACAGTCAAACTCAGATAAGGTGAACCCCCAACTGCCCATGGGCACCAGGAACGTGTTCATGCACTCGTACTGAGTATCAGATTTTGATCAGTCTTGTCCCAACAAACATGTGTGTCCGTATATGCACCCATGCTTCAGAAAATGTTCGTACTAAGCAACAGTGTCCTATTAAAGACAGTAGTACGGACTGTACGGTCTTAGGGAATTCAACTGCATCATAATAACCGGCGTGGTGTGAAAAATGCCGGTGTACACTGAGTGCAGAAACGATGAAGCAAATCTGTGGCAAGAGAGTTATTGGTACATGTACATGTACATGAGCCCCAGCAAGTGCTCGACACGGATAATCAGCATTTTAAACAAACAAATAAACGGGAAAAAGCGAGCTCCAGTGTAGGAGCAACCAACTTCCTTATAAAATTATCGCCGAGGTCGCCACCACTATTTCGAAATTTGCAAAAAAAACATTATATTTATGATCAGACTGCTGCTAGCTATCTACAGCGTGAAAATAATGGCGTACAGGAGAGACAAGGACAAGTAGAGGGAGAACATCGAGAATGTGGTAATAGACTGCGTGCCGCTGTGAGGATCGATTACAAGGAACGGTGGAGAAGTGAACGTCAGCAGAGGGTTGCCGGACAGCTGCCGTACGTCCGACGACGATGAATACCCCACGTCCGCATGCTGTCGTCGTTGTCGCCTCTGCTGACTATCACCGCAAGTTGGCTGACAAAGCTGCATGCAGAGGAAGCACACACATACACGCACACACGCACGCACGCACGCACACACACACACACACACACACACAAACACACACACACACAATATTATTTGAAGAAAACAGTTTATCTCATTTAGGACTGAACAAACAAAACTAAATATGGCCAGACTGTTCGCATCGAGGACGGACAACTCAAGACCACGGCGTCAGGACTACGCACGGAGGAATATTCGTATTCACACCCGTACTTAATGGGTATATACACCAGCATTCTTTTTTCGAAGCTTGAGCCTGTCGTACGGACAAAATAACACATTTAATTTTGTGAAGCATCAACACAATAATTGAATTACATAAAACGAATGATAATAGTCATGACTATACAGACCAGCATTGGAATTTTTCTCATTAATGTTGTCTGCTGATTACCTCGTACATGAAACTAGGAATAACAACGACATCTTCATCCCTTTCTTCTTGCTCTATATTCAGAGTCCAAAGAAACTATACTCTCAGAAACAGCGGACGCCGAGGTCAGAGGGAATGGGCGCCATCCACCACACATATGCAGTGTAGAGTAAAAACAGGATTTTCTGAAATCCAGTCCATTTCTTAGGCTTTTTAAAGCACTGATCTGTTCCTGCGGCTCACCTCTTGTCCAGCCCCAGCACCACAGATTCGCACGGTGCAATGTAGGTAGTAGATATTTTCCTCGCGATTCTGAAATGCAAACGCCACCAGTGACAACTGGAAGTACTTGGAGGACGTGTTGGTAGCTTCGTCGAATCGATAGCGAGTCGGAGCAAAGTTGACATTCTCCTTGCTTGCACAACTGCACGGGACAAGGCATTGCAAAGTGAGTGCAAAGGGAGAAGTAAGTTCAAGGCATCTTGCATGTTCATTTGCAGAAAGAAATTGGGTGGACACACCCATGTTTGAAGCACTACGCAGGACCAAACCAATTCCTACAATAATTTGGCAGTATACTACCATCGTCATGTAAATATGAAAATGATTGTTTATTCGTACCTGACGATGGCAATATTGCCGAAACGTTGTACGTAAAATTGGTTCAGGCCTTTGCAGTGCATTGGGAATGGGTGTGTTCAACCAACTACTTTCTAAAACTGTACGGAGTAAAAAAATAAATAAAAATAAATAAAAAAGTACAGCATGCCTTTTGCCGAAGACCCAAATGCATGTGCATTTATGAGTAATGCAGTGTGTCTGGGGTAGCCACGATCCATTGATCCTTTGTTGAGTAAGTTACATGTGAGCCGGCTATGGTCGTGTATAGCATGTGATCAGGAGACTATGGGACGTATGGGTGAGCAGCCACGTGACCTACATCACCAAGTAGCATACTCTAGAGTATAGGTTATATTATGGTAGTAGTAAAGGCTTGTGTGCATGCTCTCTTGTTCAGCCGAACAAACAACCCACACACAGATCATCCATGCTGTAACCTGTACCAAAAACCAGAACAGATACACTGCGTGCAACTGCAATATGCTGGCCTGGGACGGGATGCTGAACAAATCATTATCTAACGGGGCTGGCACAACATGGTTTCACCACAACTCTGTTAATCTTCGCATGAAGCATGCAGTTGCTACAGTACCGGATTCAAATCTACACGGACATTCTTAAAAATAAATGTACATGGGTAGTGTACACTACTGCCACCCACCCGTTAAAGACGGCGACAACTCGTGGATAATACTCTCGATCGCCATTAGAGATCCAACACTGCATTGGATGAAGGTAGAGATCGTCCTCGGTCTCCAGTGAGAACTCATACGTCACCGGGAGACCAACGGTGAAGGTGATGGGAGAAGTTTCGTTACGACCCACTGGGCGAGCCTGCAAAAACACACACACACACGCACACGCACACGCACGCACACACACACACACACACACACACACACACACATACACGTACACACACATTCGCAACAGGTTCACAATACACATTTGCCCATTTTTACTGTTTTTCCGTTCACTGATACATCAGCTTTTTATGCTATGAAGAGTGTAAAAAATGAACAAAATCCATGCATTGTGGCGTGTGTGTATGAAATGAACCAGTTACCCCTATAACAATATTACCCTTATAACAATATTTCTTGGTCTGACGCAAATATCGTTATAAGGGTAGGTCGACTGTACAAATTAAATCAACGGACGAAGTAAACTAGCTATATCAAATCTAATGATTGGTTGAAACATTTCACAACCGATCTGCAAGACGTGGCTGTAAAGTAGTCATCCTTGCTTTTCTATTTTTTTAGTACTATGGTCACATATCCAGCTCCAGAATAATAATGAGAGACAATGGTACTGAGACAAGAACAAACGTGACAACTACTGAGTAGGGGCTGCACTGAGACGCAGCAGTGATGGTGGGGCATTGATGGCTCTACCGACCTCAGGTCTCGGCATCAGGGCCAAAAACAAAAGATAGAACTGTACTGGTCAGCAAAATGAAAAGAAAGCAAGGCTTAACACCAGCGAGTGTGCGGGAGAAACTATGCTACAGTACAATGTAGGACTACAGTGATTGTGACTGAGAGGAGCATGATGGCGAGTCCATTGTCCCAGCCAGTTTTGTGTTGCGTAGATAGGGATGGACGATAGCAGCATCATTGCGAGTCGAGTGCCCAGAGCCAGTTTCCTACCCTGTATGGGAATCTGGCTATGGATCCAATCACACCTTTCTCCTTCAACTTGCTACAGCCTACACCCCACTCAGGACTGTCTCATGACAATGCATGTACGAATGCGGACTTCTGGATCCACTTGTGTCCAGTTTTGTGTGGGTCCATACACCGTGTGTTGGGTGGGTGCGTTCGCAGCAGGGTAATGCATGGGCCAGTCAGGGCTCTCCTAGCTGAGTTCCCTGGCCTGGGATACACAACTGGAAAAGTATAAGGTCATGGACTCATGGATCCAGCCTAGTCCAGAAGTTGTCATTTATTGACTTATGATGCAAAAAAGCGCTCTTTCGAGGACCACACCCAACTTTCCGTGTGTTGACTTTTGATGTCACTCTGTTCAAGTTCTATTGCACAGTAGACGTATGGGTATCATACTTCCCCCGTGTCAAGTACCCCCCCCCCCAGTTTCAGGTTTGAGCCCTAATTATTGTTTCAATATAGCTACAAGGAGGGAGATACAGGAAATGCTTACAGTACAATTATTAGTCGTCCATGTAATCCCTACCCCTTTTGTGTACGAGCTTTTTTTCTCTCCTTTTTTCTCTTCTTCCGTGGTTGGTCTGACCTTCTTCTCTATTCAATTGACTGTCTTGACATGCTACGAGATGCAGAAATAAATAGATAAGTAAAGTAGCTATATTAAAACTGCTGTCTCCAAAACGCTTGTTTAATTATTGTTTCAAAATAGTTATGTAGGTAGGATGTCACACTGGATTGAAAGTCGCACCCCCATCGTTACCGGTGAATTTTACGGTAAGGGTTGGTTCACATATCGCCGGTACGCGCCGGGAGTCACCGGCGGTGGGCTTCTTGCAACCTCTCCCGGCGCATTGCGATTGTGTGAACCAGTGCAGTCGTAACAAAATCATACGGTAAAATATCGTAAGGGACCGCCGGCAAAGTTGGACAGTGCCCAACTCTTGCGATCTGCCCCGGCGCCGATCCCGTACGATTTTGACCAAAAGTGGTTTGTGAACCGTTCGCGCCGGTGATCGCCGGCTGCCGGGAGCCAGACTTTGTCAAAATATCAAACCAATACTTGTCCTAAATTTTCCTAAATTGAAGCTAGAGAGGAGGTCCGTTCGCCATTCTTGTAGTCGCTTCAAGCTGGCAAATAAGTCAGCATACCAGCCCGTCCTTCTCGGATGATCTGCTTGACCATTGTGCAACTCATGAGACAAATACAATTGAAACAAATAAAAAATATGATGGATACATTGGCAAGTTCTCGTGACTTCACCAACGTTTGCAAGCATAATTTCGACACAATCGCTTACTAGACTGCAATAAAATGTGTAGAAGTATTTTCATGATCTCCAGTAAAAGGTAGCACCGAGTGGCCATCACCGAAAGACCTTGAACTACTGAAGAAACATAGAATTCAAGCTTCAATTGGCAAACCTGTCGTAGCATTTGGGCACATTCTGTACTACTTTGTAGTAGATTTGGTACTCGAACCGTATGCGCAACGGATCGGGAGCTGGCTCACCGCCGATGTCTTGCGGCGCCGATTTTGCTTATGTGAACCAACCCTAAAAAGGTGAGATTTTTTCGGAAGAATATCGTATACGATAAATATACGCAAACATGTTGAAAATATAAATACCGTTCCAGCCTTACTCAGGAATCATGGCTGCAGTGCAACACTGCAAAGTTCACTGTACCTGTAGTACTGGACTATGCACTTACATTTCTGACAAAGTAACTGCTGGCGGTGAACGATCCTCCACTTTCCAGTACAAACACGGATGAAGAGTAGACGTCAATTAAATATCCGTACGTGGAGACAAAGAGCACTGCATCTAGTGAACACTGCAGCGTGATGTGTCGGTAGTCGGATGGATCACTTTGAGCAAGACTGGTGTTACCAGACGACAGTGAACCCGCATAGATATTGTTCACGTACGTGATCTAAACGCGCGGGTACAGTGAGAGCAGAAAGAAAAAGATGAGCGTAATTCAGCGATTACAACTAATCTTGGAAGAGCAAGGATACAATAATGAAGGAAAAATGTCTGGATGTTCTGACCCTTGCCCAGAAAGGCACATAGTGCCCCGATATCCATTCACTTTGTTCTTTTCCGATCTTCAACTCCCTCAAACAATGAATATTAACTTCAGCTCCTTCAACCTTGTGAGTATTCAGACAAATGGTAGGCCAAACGTCGGTCTTGGGTACTTTTGGTACTGAAGTAGGAAAAAAGAAAAAAGAAAACTTGAAAAGCACTGGTGCTGGCCTGGTCCCTTTGGCACAGCCGTGTCCAAAAAAATCGCGGTTCGCATTATACCCTGCTGGACTGAGTTTCCTCATTCGTAGGAACTCCAACGCCCTCATGTATCAAAGGCGCACATGCAGCTCCTAAGGGCCCGGTCACACATGCACTCGAAAGTAGCGTATACGCTGAAGCGAGGTCGCAGGAGCGAAAAATGGCATGGCAACGGCGAAAAGCGGAACTTCCGCTTCAGCGGAAACTCCAATCCGCTTCCTCCAAAATTTTCGAAGCGAGACTGTCGCTTCTGCGGATTCGCTTCAGCGGAAAACACCACGGTCTGCTGTATATGGACTTGCTACGAGAAATTTGTATGCGTATGATGTCCATGCAACAAAAATGCGTGCAAGATAGTCATTGACCTCGTCTATTCTCCGTACCGTATGCACCACAGTCTCATTTTCCGCCAAAGTAGGAGCTGTGCCCTGTTTGTATGTGTGACCACACACACGTGGTTTCGCTGGAGCGACACCAGGCTCGCTGCCGCCGAACCTCGTCGCCGAAGCGAATCCCAGTGCATGTGTGACCGGGCCCTAAAGCGGTCCCAAGTCCTTACCTTATCAGACCGATGTCGGGCGTCCGTGACGATGATTCGATGTGTGCCACAGTCTGTGTAGCCAAAGTCAAAAACCCACTGCTCGTTCTCATCATCCGCCTTGGCTGCACAACGACATCTGAGTATGTGGCAATGGGAAAGAGTGAATAGACGATTCAGTAGAAGATGTTATCACTTCCTTAGTATTGACTCCCATAGATTTTTGATATACCTAAGCAGTCAAATATTCCTGCATATGTCACTCCTTAGGGCTACATTGACCGCTTATATTTGACTCTATTTTAGCGATTGAACACATGCTTTGGTTAGTCGTGATCAATCTAATAATAATTATTGACTTCGTACTTGGTCAGTATAGGAAATAGAAGACCTCGGCTTCGCCTCGGTCTTTTACTCGGCTTTTATGTCCTATATTGACCTCGTACTCAGTCAATATTAGATACATACAGTCAAACCTCGTTAGGACGAACTTCAAGGGGCTGAACAAATTTGTTTGTCTTATCGGGAGTTCTTCTTATCCAGATCTGACAAAAAATCGATATGCATATCATATGGATTGTATTTACGTGAAGGTGCATACTGTGGTAAATGGGAAGCATTTGTTCTCAGCATAAGCCAGAAACAGACAATGTGCTACAATTCGTGACTGTGCTTCCATATACTGTACAAACAAATACATTACGATAAACCATAGATTGAATATGAGTGATTACGAGTGTGCATGTGAAGCACAGCATCTCAACATCCATACTTTACAAAAAAGTTCACGGTTCGTGTGAGACTCGATCGGAGCCAGTGGAGGCCGAGTTTTCCGCATCCGCAGGAACGCCACTACCCTCTACGGCCGGATCAGCGCTCTTTGCTTCACAAAACACTTCACAACTCGATCAACGACGCGAACATGCAGGGTACGCTGAAGCTTGGCCTAGAAAGCACGCACGTCAGTGCGTCTACTACGATTCACTACGTAGCTACGTAGATCTATGTACATACAATCCATGTATTGTAATGGACCCGGCTATCGAAAAAAGAAAGAAAAAAAGACAGCCAGCGCACGCGCACGCACCCAAAGTTCGTACTACGCTCTGATTTTATTCAAATCACACTTGAAAATAGTTCGTCTTCGCGAAAGTTCAGGAGTTCGTCGTAAACGAATAATTTTGACTGGATATGATGCCTGGCCAACCATAGGATTGGCCCCAGTTCGTACTAATGGAAAGTTCGCCTTATCAGTGTTCGTCCTAACGAGGTTTGACTGTAGAAGAATATTTCCCTTTCATTCGATCTCCAAACAAAAAGAGACATAAAATAGTAGATTTCTCATATCCTTCTAAAGACTAGTTATTCACTAGTTCGTCATCACTTCTGAAATGTTTCCTTTGAAATTCCAAACCAGAGGGAGGGGTGTTTGTTTCTGTGTGTATGTGTGTGTGTATTTGTGTACGTGGGTGTAGGGGCTACAGGTGGATGAGAAGTGAAACCTTACCTGCTGGACAGTGGTCCATTGTGCGTTCCTGGCTGAGCACGTTGATCACCACGATAGGTCTGTATGAAGTTGGCATAGGCCTGTCCACCCTGATCACCATACAGACACGGTTGAGAGTACTTGCCAGGATGGGCGATCTTGTAGGAAAGGTTGTATTGCATGGACGAGCTCATACACTGTGTTTTGCCAGCATTCTTACCTGCAGTGAACACCAGATATTTACATCGTGCACACGCACATGATTATTTGGAAGAAGAAAAAAAACACGGCGGAAGTAATCATTTTGAAAATCACAAACCGGTTCAATTTCGTTACAACCTTAGAATCAAGAAAAAACGTTAATCTAAGGTGAAAGGTTCTAAATTAATGAGGATGACAACAACTTTCTTCGGTATATTCTCCGATAAATTATTTTAAAGCGTTCTGTTTTACTGCATTTTTAAAGCACATGTTCATTGGATCACATCAGGCAATAGCTTAGGATCCATCACAAGCCTAGGGTAGCATTGGGGTAATACCTCTCCTCTCCTCTAGTATGCACTTGTACAATATAGAGCTTGGCTGATCAATTTTCCTGGGGTAGCATTGGGGTAATACCTCTCCTCTCCTTTAGTATACACTTGTACAATATAGAGCTTGGCTGATCAGTTTTCCTGGCAATACAACACACTGATGACAACCATGGCAAGGTCAGGAAGACGGCCAATTTGATTCTCGTGAAGTGCCAGAGGGGAACTCACCAACTTTGCCTGCCGTTATCAGAACAGCTTGCACCTGATCATCATCTTCCGGAATTAACTCCTCCGCGCCTAGGTCAAGGAAAACACCAGGACACGCAGTGGGGCAAAAATGACACATTGTCACTGAAGATACTTCGAAGTACATGTACTGTCGTGGACATGGAAATCCGGTCGCACGTCGCACGTCTAGCGGCCCCACGGCGCTGGCCATTTTATATTTTATTTTTATTTTTACTAAAAAACACAGCCTTACTAATAATCAGGGGAAGAGGACAACTGAAATGATTCTGGACAACAAGACAAAGGGGAGTAGGGGCGATGTGCCGATGTGGTTGGCGAGGCTCATCCGACCGGAGGTCTCGGAATCATAGCCTACGGCATCGATAGGAATGCAGCTAGGGAGGGAGCCATGCAGCCGTGGATAAGCGTACCCACATGCATTTATCATGTTTATGCGTTGCATGCAGATCGCTGGTCACATGGGACGCAGCGTTCTGCACGCGCTGAGGGCGCCGGCCCCGGTCAATCGACTGGATTTCAATGTCCGCTACAGTACATGTAAGTCAGGACGGTATAGTACTACTACTAGCGTCATGCATGGGTGCGGGTAGATCTACTCGCATGCCACGCCAGATACACAGCGTTGCGGGTAGATATACTCGTATGCCACGCGCGATACACAGCGTTGCGGGTAGATATACTCGCATGCCACGCCAGATACACAGCGTTAGTAGAAGTCATCAAGTCGTGGAAAAACAGCGGATACAATTCAGAACAATGTCACCTTCCCTCACCTACGGTTCTGGCACAAACTGAAGCCAGCGTCTGCGTCATGCAGTTCGTGTCTCGCCACTTGCCGTAACCGATGTGGGACGTGGGCGATTGATACATCTCCACACAGCGCGGTGCGCTCAGACCGGGTGTGGGATGGCCAGCAAGCCAGTTGGAGTAGTCCACAAATGACTTGTCCACCCACTGATACGGCTCATCATCACTGCATGCAGCATAACAGATGCACAGTGTCTGAATAATAATTTTATGTTCCCTGATAAACACGCACCCACGCACGCTCCTCCCCCCCCCCCCTCCCCCTTCTGCACATACACAGCACACAGTACTTGCACAATCACGTCATGTTCTTGCTCATTGCCAAAAAGGTCACGTGGCCTTCCCCGGAACAGGGCAGAGACATTCAAAAGGAATCTAGGAAAGATGACTCAATTGGCTATTTTTGAACTGCCCAACGGCCGACACCCCCGAAATCCCCAAATGCTGGATAGACTTGGACGTAAACCCACTTCTGGGTTCGCCAGACCTCCGAAGCGGGTGGGGACAACGTGCAGAAAAAGGATTGATGGCATCAGGGTATCCGTCTTGGGATAAAGCCGCAGTAACCCCTGCCCCCAGTGGGGGTAATACTTGCTACTAGTGTGGGTGGCTAAATCAGAGTGGATCTTATATACGCTTCACTATCACCATTAATTACCCAAGAGTTAATCTAGCCAGAAGTAGACTAGTCCATGGTCAAAGGTATGTATCGTGACATCAAAATGAAAATATATGAACCCTGAAACGAACAAATGTGGCAGATACAACATTACACCTTAAAGCAACTGAGCCCGTTGGCAACATACCCAATAATATCTGGTTTTTAAAGCATACTAGTACCCACTAACCGAACTAGCTGGCATAAACACACACACACACACACACACACACACACGCACGCACACAGACTCACACCCACACCTACACATGCACACACATACACACACACACACACACATACACGTATGCACACACACACACACATATACACATGCACACACATACACATACACGTATGCACACACACAGTGACAGCCACCACACACACACGCATACGTACACGTGCACACAAACATACATACACACACACACAGACACACATACACACACACACGCACACATACTCACCACATACACATACACGTATGCACACACACACACACACACACACACACACACACACAAACACACACACACACAAACACACACACACACACACCAGCCCCCTGCCACCGACACCACCAGCACCAGTAACATCACCAGCACCAACACAATCAGCACCACCACCGCCACCACTGCCACCGCCACAACCACCACAGTGCAACGCTTCTTTTCGGTCTCATTGAGGAATGTGTTCATAATGTCCGAGCCACTCTTAGTATTGAAACACGTGTTATCGTGGCACGATACACCCGAATGCAAAAGGACATAATTATGGCCGTGACTTCGTACTGCATGCGTTCCATTCCACTCAAGTTTGACTGTACATACCCATGTGCCTGATTGACAGTGAAAATATCCTACTACTATTAAAGGGGAAGTATACCCTAAAATCAAATTTTCACCAGTTGTAGTCTTCGGGGTGCTGAGTCGAATGGTCTTGGTGCGAGGAAGCTGAGACGCTCCCTTCCTCCTTTATTCCCAAACGAACTCGCGCACTTCCACCGAAACTGGGTGACTGCGCCCTACTAGATGGGGATTTGTATGCAAAATGTCACTAAAAGCGCCATTTCGTTCTTATAAAAGCACGGATGACCGCGATTGGCCCATATGTTGTAGTCTTTTGGACGCTGAATCGACTGGTTTTGGTCCGAAAAGGCTGCGATGCAGCGTTCCTCCTTTATTCCCAATCGAACATGGTTGAACAAGCGGTCACGTGCTCCTGCGTACACCAGTCACCTGGTCACCGTGCCTGCAGGGTACAACTTACTAGCCTGTTTGACCTTTTTTGGGTGCAGTCGTGTCACTCGAGTTGAACTCGAGTTGAACCTTGGTGTGAAAGTTGTCGCCTGCTGGCGTGGTGACCAGGTGATTTGGGCACCCAGGAGCACGTGACCGCTTCTTCAACCATGTTCGATTGGGAATAAAGGAGGAACGCTGCATCGCAGCCTTTTCGGACCAAAACCAGTCGACTCAGCGTCCAAAAGACTACAACATATGGGCCAATCGCGGTCATCCGTGCTTTTATAAGAACGACATAGCACTTTTAGTGAGATTTTGCATACAAATCCCCATCCAGTAGGGCGCAGTCACCCAGTTTCGGTGGAAGTGCGCGGGTTCGATTGGGAAAAAAGAAGGGAGCGTCGCAGCTTCCTCGCACCAAGACCATTCGACTCAGCACCCAGAAGACTACAACTGGTGAAAATTTGATTTTAGGGTATACTTCCCCTTTAACTATCTAGTGTCTACATGTGCTGCACGACTCGTACCTCTTTATTTGCAGCCCCGTCCACAGCCACCGCGTACCGCCAAATGCCGCATTCAGAAACCTGAACACCACGTCCTTTTCCTTCTTCGAGTGCAAACTGAGCAGCTCAGATTTATCTCGGAGTCGGCAACTGGTGACGGCCGAGGGCTGATTCAGGGATGTGGTCTGGATTGTGTAGCATCTCCCTCTGTAGTAATACGTCGTTCTGGTAGGTCCACGGCACACTAGATAATCCAAAATGAAATTGAGCGGAAAACATCAAGTGGGTGAACGCCTACGCATTCATCAATGTAGACTCGCACACCCAGCCAAGTAGTGCACACGTATGGTCTGCAGTTTTCAATGGTTGTGGCAAAGGTAAAAACAATTAGAATGCAATCATCAACAGGCTTGTTCATGATTTGTAACAGCTACAGGCAGCACGGATCATAGTACTGTAATCAGTTTGTTTGTGGACTCGATGTCTCTGCCCTGCCGGGCACGTCTTGGAATAGAAAAGGGCTCCCGAGAACTCATAGAACCGCTCCTATATATTACGGGACAGGTCTACCGTTGTTCATACACGGGTGTTTGCAGTGCATGGTTGGCTATAAAAACCCTGCAATCGCCACGCAAAGTGGTCATTGGCTACCCCAGCCATGTATTGCTGGGAATAAAATAAGTAAATAAATAAATGAACTCTGGCCAGTCGTCCCCGTACGCAAAATGCGTACGCATTTGGATCTACCGTACAATTCCTCGTGTTTTGGGCGAATCTGAGCGGTAGGACGCTGTCGAATTGGGCCTGAATTTGCCCTGAACCAGCCGATATCGAAGTAAAATTAGGTGTTTTGAAAACCACACGGGAACACTGTGGCCATGTCTTCTTTCCTGCGTCGTTTGTTTGAAAATCGGAGTGTTTTTGAGCACGTAGTTTCGTCTTCGTTGTGGAATGGCCGTGCGTACATTCTCCTTGGAATTACCAAAGTCACATCCCCGTTTGTTGCATTGCTAGGAGTTTTGCCAGCAGCCACGATAGTTTTTATCCCTGCTTCCATACATCCTTTCATTAAACAGCCAAACGAAACTTTGTGGCGCGCCTTAGTTTTTTTGTGGCGCGGGGTCTCAAGTTTGTCACTTCGAGTTGTACACAACAGTAGGCTCCGGCGGATTATGCTCGCGAAATCATGGAATTATGCTTTCATGGATTCTCGCATTATGCTCGCAAAATCCACATATTATGCTTTGGCACGCAGGAATACGCATTCACTTTGTCGTACTTATGGAGCCTCAAAGTTTGGAAAATTGTGCGTTTTTCGTACATGAACTTGCAAGTGGCCATAATTCCCACAAAATACATGAGTATCCCATACCAAGGTGTCCATGCATGCTAGAGATCAACAAAGAAAAGAGAAAACATTGCATCTTCTATTCACTACAACTTCTTTTGTAAAAAGATTTTTCATTGCTAAATTTTGTTTGAGTTACCTTTCAAAATTATCATGTTCAACTGACTGTCTTCGCAATCGTCATACTCGTCCAACCGATGTGAACCTCACCCTGCGAATAATCAGCTCATCTCTCTCGTAGCTCCACCTCTCCTTCCATCATCATCGAACATCAACAATACCTCACTTGATATTTTTTAATTATTAGAGAAATATCCATAGCCTGCACAGCCACGGCTGCTAAAATCCCGAGCCGGTCACGACTTCGTATCATGAATAATGTACATGTACGCAGAGTCCGTTTGCGGACTAGCCATCACTATCTCGTCCACCTCGGGATACCTCATAAAACCCTGCTTTTCACTGAAAACTATATCTGCATGACCTCCAAACCCTTTACCAAACAGATCACTAGCGCTGATCAGGTGCATTGTATACAATTCTGTAGCCTACATACTAGAACTGTGGTACAATCATGTGGTTATGCTCCTACCTCCGAAAGGATGCCAAATTATGCTCAACAACAACCACAACCACAACAACAACAACAACAACAACAACAACAACAACAACAACAACAACAACAACAACAACAACAACAACAACAACAACAACAACAACAACAACAACAACAACAACAACAACAACAACAACAACAACAACAACAACAATAACGACAACAACAACAGCAAAAACAACTCTCATATTGGCCACAGGCCATCGTGAGAATAAAAGATTTCAAACAACAACGACAACTACAACGACAACGACAACGACAACGACAACAACAACAACAACAACAATAACAACAACAACAGACCAGAGCTGACAGACAGGACTTTGGTGGTGGTGTTGCCTTGTACACAGCGGAACGTTTCAACACAAGGGTACTGACAATACCAATGACAGCAGCAGAATGTATATGGACGAGAATTTCCACCGATAACCTCTCCCTCGTTGTTGCAAACATTTACCGACCACCCCGTAGCGATGGCACCCTCTTCTGTGCGGAACTGGAAAGAAGCATTAAAACCGCTAGAGCCGAAGGTGACGACCTCCTACTACTTGGAGACTTCGATGCCAAGAACAGTGCGTGGCTCACCACAGACAGAACAGATCGCCTTGGGGACGACATACAAACTCTTCTACACACATACGGCCTCACACAACATGTCAGATTCCCTACTTACATCCACCGACAAACACCTCTCTCATGTCTAGACCTTGTTATCTCCTCACTCCACAGCAATAATGTTCACATCCAATCACTTCCACCGTTTGGCGCATCCGATCACACTACTATCAGTGGCCACATCAGTAATCAACTGCCCCCCTAAATAAAAACTCTCCTCCACGATCCAGAAGCACCACATTCTGGTCATGGACAGACAGCACTATCCACCTTCTTCGAGAAGCCCTTTCACGCACAAATCTCAACCCCCATCCAAACCAACACGACCCATGCCCAGTTGACACCTTCCGCTGATCCTGGCGCAACAAAGTCCTGAGCATCGCTCAAGAACACTGCCAAGTTACTCGCACTCACCCCCCTTGGGACAGGAAGAACGTGCCAGCACGACCATGGATATCCAAGGGCCTCTTGAAAGAGATCAAGGATAAGCACAGAAAACACAGAATATACCTTCACTCACGCTCGCCCGACGACTGGAACACGTTCACTGCCCAAAGAAACCGTGTCACCACCCTCCTGCGTCGTGCAAAATCGGATTTCGTAAACAACTCAACAGCCTCCTCTACTTCCCTACACCGCCTCATGAAGCACCTAACTACAGCTACAAAACAACGCATACCCGAACTCGTCAGCCAAGCAACTCTTGCAACGACACCAGCACAAAAAGCCGCTGCCCTCAACGAATTCTTCATTTCACAGAGCAAGCTGTCCGTGGCCAATGCGGATGAGCAAACCCCAGCCATCAACACCACCCCTGACAACCTCAGTCCCCTTCAAGAAATCTCGACTTCCCAAGCTGAGGTCGAAAAACTCCTCCGCGGAGTTGATACCAACAAAAGCCCCGGGTTCGACTCTATTCCAAACCGCCTACTCAAAGAAGCGGCTAAGGAACTTGCACCGTCGTTATCGTCCCTCTTTAACATATCGTTCCAAACCGGAGAAATCCCACAGGAGTGGAAAGATGCCACCATTACTCCAGTACCCAAGCCTGGTGACCCTACCCAACCCACAAACTACAGACCAATCTCTCTCTTGAGCACTACATCAAAAATCCAAGAAACAATTGCACATCAACTCCTCTAGAAGCACATCATACCCCACCTACCCAACCAGCAGTCCGGATTCCGTGAGAAAGACGGCACTGAGCAGCAGCTTGCCCGTCTCGTCCATACCCTCTCCACTGCGAGAGACGACGGGAAACACGTCAGTGCCTGCTTTTTTGATCTAAGCAAGGCCTTCGATCGTGTGTGGCATGCAGGCCTTCTAGCAAAACTCTCCCACTATGGTGTCCAGGGCAACGCCCTGGAGTGGTTCCGACGGTACCTGTTGGGGCGTCGGCAGAGGGTCCAGGTGGATGGCGACCTATCGCCTTTCCTCAAGATCCCTGCCGGCGTCCCTCAGGGATCTGTTCTTGGGCCGCTTCTATTCCTCGTCTACACCATAGACCTTCCACATGCATGTGAGAATCCCGGTACCACCTGTAGCCAATTTGCAGATGACACCGCTCTGATTTCCATAGCGAGAACTCTTCAAGACTGCACCCGAAACCTACAACAGAGTGTCACAGCAGCTGGAGACTGGCTTCAAAGATGGCACCTGCTGGTTAACACAAAGAAAACAGTCATCCTCCTGTTCTACCACAATAACCACCCCCTGAACAGCTACCCCAGATCACCCTCAGGAATAGTCCGCTTACCGTAGCACAAAAACACAAACACCTCGGAATAATCTTTCAGCATTACCTCCGTTGGACGGAGCATGTTGAATACATAGTTAAAAAATCACTCAAGTCTTTCAATATTCTTTTTAGACTAAGGTCTACACTCACCAGTGATTCTTTATCTCACATCTATCAGACATACATACTACCTATATTCTCATATGCGAGCAATGCTCTCACACCGTTGTCGCACACTTCCCTTGACAGGCTAGAACGACTCCAGCGGAAAGCCGCCAGAATATGTCTCCGCCTTCCCCTTTACACACACTTAGAACACTCCCACCTTTTGCATCGCATCAAATGGCCAACATTATTTTCACTCTTTAAAGTTAAACATATACTCTTCGCGCATTCTCTGCGCCATAATTATGCCCCACCACATATACTCTCACTGCATACTGCTAGCAACGTGCAACCTTCATAATAATTTACGTCGTTCTCGTACTTGGCACTTGCCAACTCCGCGGACTGACCGCTGTCTCCATTCTCCCCTGTACAAGGCCCTTCATTACTTTAATTGCTTGCCCGCCCAGCTTCGGGAAATCCCTTCTCGTACTCCATTCAAATCCGAGATATCCCTGCTGTTGCACAACTCTGTATGCTCGTGTAGCGACCACCCCTGCCCGTACACTTAAGTAGTCATTAACCCCTACGCCCTGCCCACCCAATTCTTCCTCACTCTTTCTCCTTTCTTACACTATTATCTCTTATCGGCCACTGGCTATCGTGAGAATAAAGATTTGAAACAACAATAACAACAACACTCGTATTGGCGATGGCACTGCCATCGTGAGAATCCAGGCATTCTACTTCCGCAACTCCGAGTTGATTACATGGTGACTTGAACTTGTCCCCCTGCAAATAGTCGGACGTACAACTGCTCGTCCTGATAGTGCACACCACTCATTGTGAGGCAAAAATGTTCAACCCCCCCCGGGTTGTATACTCAAACCCCCGGGTTGTATAATGGGGAGGTTTAGTCCCACGTAATCCGTGGGTACTTTACGCGTGTGTACCACGTGATACTCAATGACCCACGTACAGACGTCTAGACGTTTTCTGAGTCACGACCTACCGTGCATGGAGGCTCAACCACGTTCCGCCAGAACGTGGGTGAAAATCAGAATGGAGCGCAGTTTGCGAGCTGTGAGGGTGCTCAGCTGAAGAAATTTGCGAAGCACGAAATCAAAATATTCGATGAGCTTCTAAGGCCCTGGTAGCTTCGTCTTTGACCAGGTTTGGGCCTTTTGCTTCATGCTTTTGTTTGTTCCGTGTGACTAAACACAACATTGCAACGTGGGTGCCCTTCATCCACTTTACGTGTATCACCCACGTAGATCTACGCGTTTCCGTTACGTAGGAACTAAACCTCCCTACTCACACGTGCAGACCTGTAATTCCACTGTCGACTTGGCTTGAATATAATCGTGAACTTCAATGTTCCACATTGCAGGCATAGTTTCTCACTTTTGTCGTCACACATACTATAAGCGAAAAAGTAATTTCGAGACATCGTGTAGCTTCACTCGTAGAAGATAATTGGGTGGATACACCGGCCCTTCCCAGAGCCTGCACATCACCGAAGCAAACCTTCCGTGCCCCGTTTCGGCTATATGGCCACCACCGTCATACTAGTACGTGTACTGTCTACTACAGTACGCACAATCCCTATAGGCAGCAACTACTGTACGCGATTGTGGGGTGCATACGGAAGCTAAGTCTCAGACAATGTTTGCGCTAAACAAATTCAAGTACAATCTAAAGGAAAACCAACACCATGCCAAAGCTAACTGCCAGAGTTCGTTGCTCACCGGATGGCTTCTTGCAGAGGAGGGCCAGTCTGGTGCTGCAGTCCCGGACGTACCACAGGGATTTGCGGGTGCTGAGCGTGAAGCGAACATCCACGCAGTCGCCGCTAGCCTTTCCAAGACTTGGCTCACCCGGAGCCCAGTTCGTATAGCGCACAGGGAGGCCGTCATCGGTTGTGAAGTTGCCATTTCGGAACTGGAATCCCGTGTAGTACACAATATTTGCACTGTGAGAAATCAGATACTCGTGAACATTGTTCACCTCATTCTCATCGCGATAGGTAATTAGATGTGCCCCGCGGGCAAGACAGTAGGTTGATGCCAATTCCTTGGTGTAGCTGGCGGGTTTATAGAGATGATAGCAGTGACGTCGATAGTAGTACCAGCCACTTGGGCAGTTTTCTGCATGTTTGCGTGTGTATGATTGTGTGTGTGTGTGTGTGTGTGTGAGAGAGACAGAAAGAAATGAAAGAGTGAGAGAGAGAGAGAATGAGAGAGAGAGAGAGAGAGAGAGAGAGAGAGAGAGAGAGAGAGAGAGAGAGAGAGAGAGAGAGAGAGAGAGAGAGAGAGAGAGAGAGAGAGAGAGAGAGAGAGAGAGAGAGAGAGAGAGAGAGAGAGAGAGAGAGAGAGACAGAGAGAGAGAGAGAGAGGCAGAGACAGAGGGAGAGAAAGACACAGAGGCGGAGATAGAGACAGTGAGACGGAGACAGAGGGAGACAGTGAGAGAGAAAGGGAGAGAGAGAGAGAGAGAGAGAGAGAGAGAGAGAGAGAGAGAGAGAGAGAGAGAGAGAGAGAGAGAGAGAGAGAGAGACAGAGAGAGAGAGACAGAGAGAGACAGAGACAGAGAAAGAGAGAGGGAAAGAAAGAGAGAGTAAGAGAGAGACAGAGGGAGAGAAAGACAGAGAGACGGAGACAGAGAGCGAGAGAGAAAGAGAGAGGGAGACAGTGAGAGACAGAGAAAGACAAAGTGAGAGAGACAGACAGAACACTAGAATCCCATTGTTTGACGGCAACACTATCACAAGTTCTGAAATAATCAGTCAGCACGTTAAGTACAGTTTACTCCAGATTCTTACCTTTCTGCGCAGACGCAGCGGCAAGGAGGAAACCGAAGGCCAAAACGCGGAGGGCGGCACCCTATAATTATTATTTTAACACGCAAAGAAAGAACAACAAAAAAGACGTGAAGGCAGGTGCAAGTAAACGCAGACACTGGGAGAGATATAGTTGGTTCGTTGGTTGGTTGGGCGGTTTATTTTAATTCGCACAATACACGGGAACTAGGCCCAATGATATAAAGGCGAGAGGATGTAGTAGGCCTAAGAACGCGGTCACGATGCTCCAACTCACCTCCATTCCTCTTGAGAAAAACGTCGAAACCTCCTGCCAAAAACACAACAACTGTTCATCACAGCAGATTAGTCCATTCCTTTTGATGCCTAGTGGCCCGTGAAGTTAGAGTACTTCCTTGGACCTCCTTCGAAACGTGTACAATAAAAGGTAGCAGTCGATTGCCCGAGGATGAAGCTCCGAGTTGCGACAAATTGGCGCGAGCTCAGTGGTAGGGGGAGAGAAAGCAAATGCACGTATCGCGAACTACATGACATTCTACGGCGCTAGTTGATGAAATCCGATCTATGGAGTATTGAGTCAAGTTTGCGCCCAGCACAAGTAAGTTCACCATTCCGGTGTAAGATCGCCCGTGTGCGTGTGTGCCCGTGTGCGTGTGTGCCCGTGTGCGTGTGTGCCCGTGTGCGTGTGGATTCTGTCGCAGACAGAGTACATGTGTACGTACACTGAGAGAGCAGAGCTGCACTGCGTAGATTTACTAGTACAAAAAAAAACTCGGTGAAATGCTGCTCCTAGCCTCTGCTAGACGCTTGTGATGTGAACTACTGTTTACCGTAATCTATTGCGTGTAGATCTACCAGGGACGGGGTGTACCGGTGCGAGAAATAGACGTGTGAATAGGACTTCCTGTGTTGTGCGGCTTCAGCCCTTGTCTAGAGCGAGAACGTGCATTCAGTCGCTTTAAATAGTAGACAGCACTTGTAGTTGTACATGTACTTGAGCTCAGAGCTCCAACTCTCCCCTGAACAATCAGTCATGTACATGTACATGACTGTACATCATTGTTATAAAACCCAATACATGTACTACTGTAGCGGACATGGAAATCCAGTCGATTGACCGGGGCCGGCGCCCTCAGCGCGTACAGAACGCTGCGTGCAGTGCACCTGGTGATCCGATGGGACCAGTGCGCTGCAGCGTAGATTCTATACCCACGGCTGCATGGCCAGCGCCCTAGCCCGGCCTAGGGCCGCTAGACCGGATTTCCATGTCCAATACTACAATACTACTACTAGTATAAGAAAAAGACGTGGATGGTGGTAGTAAGGTCACTGTTTCCGAATACAGTGTCCTCCACCTTGTTTCATGCTATCAAACTAACAACATGTACATGTATGTATGCACTGCATTTAACTTGGACGCACACTGACACACACACACACAAATGCGCGCACGCAAACACACACACACACACACTAACACCTACACCTGCCCAATGGCACTTGACGGATTATGCTCGGTAAATTGCTGAATTACGCTTTGAATTATGCACAAATTATGCCAGTTGTTATGCTACATTATGCTGGAATTATGCCAATGATGGTGCTATAATTATTGTACCCTGGCACTCCTATTACATTTTTCAACTCTACAACGACTCTGGCACCACGACAGCATGGCTTATAGGGGTGACATTCACCAGGTTATTTCCTGTAATATGCCTGGAGCATTAATCTTCAGCCTGCATCGTAAGGTTATGCCGACCGTCTGATCTCAGAGTTCCTTTTTTGCCAGGGCATAATTGTTGTACAAAATCCGAAGATTATGCCAGAAATTATGCAAGCATAATCCGCCAAGGGCTACTGCTGAACGCTGAAGTGATGATAAAAAAGAATAGATTATCGTGTCCACTCACGAAGGCAACTCACGATGGCCGCTAACACCCGGTAAACCCTCAACGAAGTGATGATATCGAGCAAGCTATACATGTATGTACCTGTATGTTAAACATAGCAACTTGTGCTGGGATTACACCACTCAACAGCAGGCTTAGGGCTCAGGGCTGTGAACTCAGAGATCCTAACTCTCCCCTATCAAATCAGAAAAGTACACCTCATTGTTACGTATGTACGTAATAAGCAAGCCGAGCTACCAGCAAGGGTGGCACCACAGACATTAAGATGATTCATTGCTCTAGCGCCAGAGTGCTCTAACTAACTATGAAAACCAGCGGGCAATGCGTAATGCAGCAGCACTAGAGCAGCCTGCCGTGAGTGCCCCACAAGACGAATGTCGAGGAGCATAATAGCCAATGCTGTAGACGGCAATCGTTTTCGGCCACAAAGGCCTCATCAGTACAGCTACGAGCTTTAAGCAAGCCGGGCTACCACCATATTACATTGACAATAATAGGTAATCAACAAAGTAACTAGTATAACTAGCTTACGGTACATGTAGTTCAATATTTTGTCCGTGCACGATCAGGTATTCCAAACATTCCAGTCTAGGGTACGCCTTATATGTATCAATCCATTCCATGAACAATCTGTACTATTAACTTAGAAGTTGCGACTTCGGCGGTAATAGTCATGAAGTTGATTGTTCCAACTAGGAACACACGCTTCTTGCCGAACTTGACACTTGACTGACTCACGAATCTGTATTATTTTTTGTTGTAGAATGTCGGTGCCGTCGGTCAGTGTCGTGCAATGTTATCGCATGAGCTGATTGTCCAGTAACTGGTGGTGTTAAGTGGACATGATAGCGTGACTTGTAATTCCTTGGTCCTTTTTTCTTTTCTATAAATGTATCCTTGGCTCTCCATCCGAGTCCTTATCATAGCCAAAGGTAAGCAGCATGGAATAAAAATGGGGAAAAGTAAAGGTAGAGATTATTATAGTGAATTACATGCACCCTTGAGTTGAAGTATGTTGGGATTGTACAGTGCTGGCAAACTGGAATCCGACCCCCCGAGCGGTGGGTTCACATTCTTTGCGATGTGAGCGCATCGCTCAGGTGGTCGGATTTCAGTTGCCAGCACTGTAGGCTGGTGCTCAGTACATGTGGGTGTAGAAAGGCAATATGAAGCTGTGTTCCTGTGACTGTGACTGTGACGTTCACGCTGAAGCTATCATCATTGTACTGTCTGATGATCGGTTGTGCGTTGTACTCGAAGTCACAACAGCACACAGTATTATTGCCTGCTCTCTGAGTATAATTATGGGTTTTGAAACAACTCTAAAGACTGAATGATGCCTGGCAAAATGAGCGCGGTCGCGGCACAGATGTGACAAACCCTGGAAAGAAGAGGTTGAAATGGGCAGGACCGTGATGCGAATATCGAGTCAAAGCCAAGCCGGCACACAATTTTAATACTAAATGCCCACACTGATGGCACCTGAAATCCAACCTCGTGGATATAGTGGCTGCGTAGCGCTAGCATTGCGAGCGTTCGCCGCAGGAAATGGTAGCCTCCTGTATTCATCCTGTTGGATTTCATCTCACACCACATACATTATGTATATGCACATGTACATAATGTGCCTAAAGAAATAACGATTTTATGCTGCGCAATTAGCTTCAAATGTAGTGAACAGAACCGGTAATCAATCACCGAATGTTACAGTGATTTGGTCACAAACAGTGCTGTGCAACCTGCGGTCATTACGAGACCAAAGACTGTGGCATTTCAGTTCACTCAGTCGCACTTGTTTTGTCACGCACCGGCATGCTGAATTCCAAACGGAAGCCCTACTTCAACCGCTGTAGTATCTATCAGGTACGTGATGCAGGCTTTAAACTAGTTGTTCACATCAGCAGGCTGAGTGTTCGAATCACGTCGCGATATCACCATTGAAGTCAGTGTGATGGCGAACTCACGTCTACGACCCTCTTGTTCACATCAGGCTTGCCTGCAAATACATCCATATTATTATCAGCATTCCACTCGAATTTCTCTCTCGAAGTCTCTGCTCCAGGTGTACATGCATTCTGTTATTATGCATTTTACTTATGGCCTTGCCGTCCAAGAGTCGAGCGCAAGAAGAGGCAGGCAGGAGAGAGATAAAGTAACAGTTGTGAAGGCCATTCAGTAGGTGTCGTCTTCGCCAACAAATTGCCCTCTCCCTGCAGAAGCGAACGATCATCCCACCTGTGCATAGCTACCTGTTGCCTGATTGAAGCATTCAGGAACGTGAAGTCGATCAGGATACTAATGCCCTGCATCACAAGGTGTTAATGATTGAAAGAAGCGAGCATTCAGCGGCAATATGCAGGCAAGTCAACAGCATGAGCGCGTTGGATGTATGGGGTTTGCGAGTTTCAAATCTCTGATATTGTGCTTGAAGAAACGCGTGGTGACTGGTCCCAATACGAATTTAAAATATTCATAGTGTATTGTGTATTGTGTCGTGACTGTGATCGCTATCCAGAGTTGCTCCACCAGCATCGCTTTCTTTGGCACTGTATCATGTGTTTGCGTGCGCGTGTTCGTCTGCGTGTATGTATAATTGTGTGTGTGTGTGTGTGTGTGTGTCCGTAGGTGAGTCGGGGAGAGTCTGAGTGGCAAGTCCACAACTGCATGCGTTTGTCGAGTATATTATAATACCGTTGCAATCACTTTGTGCTGTGATTTGTTTGTGCTCACAGCGTATAAGTCTGTACTTCTGGCAGCTATGTGTGCTGTTCATAGTAATTCAAGCTCAGAAAGGTGAAGGAAGCACACACACAAACACTCACACACAAACACACACACACACAAACACACACACACAAACACACACACACACACACACACAAACACACACACACACACACACACAAACACACACACACACAAACACACACACACACACACACAAACACACACACACACACACACACACACACACACACACTGAAACACACGCACCCTCACTCTCTCACACACAGACGCACATATATGCACACACAGACATACCCCCACACACACCTGTCCTGTCCTGTCCTGTAGAGTCACTGCCGCAAAAGGGTCACGTGATCCCATCACTGGGAAACTTGAGAAGAGAGAGAGAGAGAGGACACGACGCTCGATGACGCTCCAGGTGCACGGGTAGTCGCATCCGCTTGCCGCATATGCACACGTGCTGGAAGGCTGAGCGCTCCTCTGCTGTTGGTCTATGCGCCACCCTTGAACAGCGATGCCTTCCCCGTCCCCGGACACCGCGAAAGCAGCGACCACACCTGTCACAATGCGCGGCACAACATCCCTCCGCCGGTGCCGACGCTCCGGTAGTTCCAGGTGGCACTGCGGCATCCACCGTTGAGGCACACACATGCCGGACCAAGCCACCGCGGCTTCTCAGCCACCGCCCACACCGCCCGCACTGACTGGCGCCCCGCTGCTCAGACACAGGCCGCGCACGCTCCTCCAGACACTTATGCCGAGCCATGTCTCCTTTCCGTGCAAAATCCCGTCCGCATACCGTACATACCACTCGGGGCGGAGGCTCAGGCACATTGTCAGGCTCTTGGTAGGTGCTGCGCCACTCCGCGCGAGACTCACATGCAACATCATACCATGATGCCTCCACGCCACGGGCACGTAGATCTCGGACAGCACAGTCCTTCCATCTGCGGCGTGGGCCATGTGCTGGGCGACGCTGCAAGAAGGAGCCAAACAGTACCTGTTTTGGGATGCGGTTGTCCGGCATCCGCTCCACATGCCCCAACCACTCCAACCGCCGATGTGCAATTTTGTCTTTAATCGTCTCGGAGTCTCCCCAGCGCACCAGCAGCTCTTCGTTGGTGATGTGTTCGTCCCACATCCGGCTTCGAGAGACCCCGAGGATGGATCGGATGCACCTCATGCTGAAGGTTGAGAGCTTCTGCAGGTCATGCTGAAGGGGCGTCCAGCACTCAGAGCCATACAACAGCAGGGACAGAACGCAAGCATTGAATACGCACCGCTTGGTGTGCATCAGCAGATGTGGATTGGAGAATACAGACCTCTGAAGAGCACCGCAGGCCCTGGAGGCTTGGGCAATCCTTGCGGCGATGTTCCGGGACGAACGGCAACCGCTGTCCACTACAGAACCGAGGTATTTGAAATGCGGTACGCATTCCACCTCCGCTTGACCAAGTTGGAGGGGAGCGCGGTCAGTAAGCGTGATGCCGGGGCCAACAACTACAAACTGAGTCTTCGTTGCACTGATGGTCAAGCCGAATCCCGACGCCACCTCGTGAAGACAGCACAATGCTGCCCCCGCTCCAGACCGAGTCGTAGCGAATAAACAAGAGTCGTCAGCAAACTGGGAATCTGTTAGGCAATGGTGTTGGTCGTCACGGCGGGGTTTACGGTATAAATCGCTGCTGTATGCTGAGCGGAGCTCGAAGCCAACCCCGTCAACTCTCCTGACGCGGTGTTGCCACTGGGTCATCACGGCCCACATAAAGATATTAAAAAGGACCGGCGCCATAGAGCACCCCTGGCGAAGACCATTGCCAATGCTGAACGGGTCTGATAATATGTTGTTGAACTGCACCGATGCTGACATGGGGTCGTGGAACGACTGGATGATGTTGATAAGCTTTTCTGGTACTCCCGCACGGCCGAGGACCTGCCACAGACACCCCCTGGGCACTGAATCATAGGCCTTCTTCAGGTCGATAAACACAAAAAATCCCTTGGCCTGATGTTCGATTGACTTTTCCATGAGCTGTCGGACGGTGAAGATCATGTCAGAGCAGCCACGCCCTCGCCGGAACCCGCACTGGGACTCAGGGAGAAATTCCTCTGCGAATACCTGCAGCCTTCTCTGAAGGACACTCGCCAAGACCTTGCCGACCACATCCAGCAACGCAATGCCCCGCCAATTGTCGCACTGCGACAAATCTCCCTTCTTTGGAATGGGGATGAGGGTAGCATCCGCCCACTCCCGCGGAACGCAGCCATCTCGCCACACATCTCCAAACAGCTCCATGAGCTTGTTGTTGAGCTCCTCGCCACCGAACTTTAGCAACTCTGGCTATATCCTCGATGAACCAGCAGCGGTGCCATTGCGAAGTCGAGAAATGGCCTTGGAGATCTCATGCATGGTTGGTGGTTCCTCAAGGCTCGACACTACAGGTCGCTGCTCAACGCAAGCCATGATATCGGGGTTGTACGAGCTCTCTGGGTTCAGGACAGATGTGAAATGCCTCTGGAACCGCTTGCATTGATCCTCAGTCGACTGGCACAGGTTTCCATTCTCGTCCTTAATGGCGGAAGTCTTGCACGGAGTTAATCCCTCACATGCAGCGTGGATAGCATGAACGCATTTCCAGACGACTGCCCCGTTGAAGCGCGCCTCTGTTGCCTCCTGTGCCTTATTCAAAATCCAAGCCTCTTTGGCATTTACAACGGCTGCGCGCGCCTGCGATCGAGCAGCCCCGAAGCTGGCCCAATACGTGTCGCCCCTCTGCTGACCGTGGGCAAGCCACTCCGCGTAGCACTCATTGCGGGCGCGCCACACACACACACATACACACACACTCTCTCTCTCTCTTGCACATACACACACGTACACACATGGTATACACTCACTCACTCATACACACACACGCACCCACTCAGACGCAAACAAACACACACGATCGCTCCATAGACACAGACGGACAAACACACACACGGACACACACACGCACGCTGCGATTCCTCAGACTACTAGTATCTTCCTTTGAACCGCATGATACAATCATACGTTGTCCCCCCCCCCCCCCACCACCACCACCATGGTCAGCAGAATCTATTCAGGATCTTGACTTTTAAGCGTAAAGCCTCTTGGCATCTCAATACGTGTGTCTATTCATGCCCACAACTGAAGTTCTAAAAGGGTCTTGAAACACAATCCATAAGAGTCGTGTTCATGCAAGCAAGTTCCTATTCCTTGGACATGCTGCTCTGGAAATGCCGAAGAAGCAATCAAATGGGTTTAACTGTGAGATGTGCGAAAAGGTGAAGGTAGTCCGTGTTTAAATCTGACCTAGGGTCAAGAGGAGGGGTGTTCGAGACATCCTGTTTCACAGAGCTCGAAAAACTCAAGGTGGTGCTTATTAACTCCTTTCTCTCGTCGTATTCGCCTCCCTAACATAAGATAATTATACTACTGTGATTCACTTGTGCTAGTAATTACTTCAAGTACATTGTACATGTACATAATTGTGAACTTGCCACACATACCCAAACACTGCCGGATGCCCCTGACATTCGGCATTGCCTGCACTGCCTCTGCCCTTGTCATGTCAGGTGACTGGGAGCTGGACACGTACAAGCATTCAGCAAAGTCTCAGTATTCCTTGTCATGCGAGTGTGTGTGCGTGTGCACGCATGTGTGTACATAATTATGCGTGCGTGGGATCTGTACACACACGGGAATGCGTTTTTGTGTGTGTATGGCATATCGATTGCATGTTCAGAAAACTGCCCTGGTGGATGGTACTACTACCGACGCCATTGCTACTACTCGCTGGGGACGAATGCCTATTACACACACTACCGCAGTGGTGATCCGGGCTATACCAAGGACTACTCAACCACGTTCTGCCTGGGTCGCGGTGCCCACCCTATCACATACCGAGACGAAAACGAGGTGAACAATGTCCACGAGTACCTGATCTCGAAAGATTCTGACGTGCGTTACTGGACCGGCTTCAAATTCCGCAATGGTAACTTCACCACCGATGACGGCTACCCGGTCCGGTATACGAACTGGGCACAGGGCGAACCGAATCTCGGCCACTCCGGCGGAGATTGCGTCGAAGTGAGATTCTCACTAAGCACGCGCAAGTCATTGTGGTATGTCGAGGACTGTGGATCGTCGAGGCCGCTTGTTCTCTGCAAGAAACCATCGGGTGAGCCGTTTCGCGATCACGGTTATTATTATTATATTATTATTAACTTTGATTTTACTAGGGTGTTTCCCACAGCCCTATGGTCTTCTTACGGGAGCAGGAGCAGGAGAGAGAGAGAGAGAGGTTAAAATTAATGGCAGACGTTTGAGCCGTGTATTTATTGGTCAATGTCAATTTCCGCATGGACCAACACAGCAAAACAAAGTACATGTAGCTTGAAGGTCAGAACAACGTAGAAGCTGCGAACAACTTACCAACTTGAATTTATGGAAATACTCCACTACTCCACACTGCGCTCTTTGCCCACATTCACACACACCGTACTGTCCGTAGCGCAGAAATTCGTTCTTCGGTAGATGTCGCATATAATATATTCATTCCTTTAACTATTATTCTCTCGTTAACTAACACCACTGTGGAGTTGTCAATAAGTAATACAGCTGTCTGGCGGATATGCAACATCTACCTAAGAAAGAATATTCTCGCTATGGTGTTGTGCATGTGGGCCAAGAGCGCAGTTTTGAGTGGTGAAGATCCGAACAGTCAAAAAAATGCCGAAAATTGCATCCATTTTGGCGATTAAGCCACAATATCGTCCTGACCCCTAAGGTCTTAGATGCTCCAGTTAAAAAGATATGTCCACAACTATTCTTCTTGCCTAGTATTATTATTCTTATATTCCACGGTGCCGTGACGCCGATAAGGACGATTGATAAGTGTGATAGAATTGATACTAGCCAGAAACAGCTAGATGGAAATTAACCGGGGAGGCAAGAAGCAATGGATCAAGAAAAAACAAGCGGGAGCAATAACGTTAGCAGGCGTACTTTTCAGGATGTTCAGAGTTCACAGCAGCCAATGCACGGTTAGGGAAACACTTCGCCAAATACGGCTTATCAATCCTGATAGATCACGGTGTAAGGAGGATTTCATATTTATGTTACATTGCCCTACATATTGTCGCCTTAGGCTCTTGGTCAGGCCAAAATTAATGAAAATTTGACTAGTTGCTGAGTGTTTTTAGTGTTGTATGCTAATTCTTTAATCCTTGGTACTCTGATGCTCAACACGTGAATATAGTTTGTGCCGGCTCCGGGACGTACTATTACGGAGGACGATGCTACACGATCCAGAGAACAGCCTTGAATCAGCCGTCGGCCGTTACCAGCTGTCGTCTGCGAGACCGATCGGAGCTAATCAGCTTTCACTCGCAGAAAGAGAAGGACGTCATCTTCAGATTCCTGAATGCTGCCTTCAGCGGTACAAAATGGCTCTGGACTGGGCTCGAGAAAAGCAGGTAAGAACCTGCCGTAAACCTGCTGTGTATCATGTGACTTTACGCACAATGTTTGCGTATGGGAGTAACCATGGTAATGTGCAGCGGCCCATCAGTGGTGTAGGCACGGGCGGATTATGCCGGCATAATTATTGGCTTAATTTGATGGTTGAAAATTTGGAGCATAATTTCGCATCCTTTCGAAGGTAGGAGCATAACTATAATAAGTATAATAAGATTGTACCATCGTTCTAGTATGTAGACTACACCAATTGTGTACAGTGTATCTGATCACTGATGGTGGTCTGCTTGGTAATGGGTTCGGACGTCATGCAGGAAGTGTTTTCAATAAAAAAGCAGTGTAGAAATCACGGCAATGCAGTACTGTGTGCTCGAACTCATCTTCTTCAAACTGTTCTTTCTCACGTTGATACAGTGCATGTAGCAGAAGATGCGAATGAATCAGCCTTTATCAGGTATCTTGGGGCGGACGAGATAGTGACGGGTAGTCCGCAAAACTCCGCGTACATGTACATTAAGCATTTTACGAAGTCATGACCTCTGGATTTTGGCCGCCATGACTGTGCACTGCAGGCTATGAATATTGCTCTAATACAACATTTTGTTGTGCGTAAGTTATGGCCACTTGCAAGTACGAATAAAGCACAATTTTTCGAACTTTGAGGTTCGATAGGTACAACAAAGTGAATATGTATCCCCGCGTGCCCAAGCATAATATGAGGATTCGGTAAGCATTATGCGAGAATCCATGGAAGCATAATTCCATGATTTCGCAAAATCCGGCGGAGCCTACAGTGGTGGTGGCCCAAACTCATTTCTGGCTGAATTACGGCCTACTTCTGGGCCGAATTTGGATCGGGTTTGAAAGATCCCACGCCTCATTGGACTGTGTTATTAAAGTTAACGGAGCTAGGGTGACAATACCCTACAGGAGTACACTTTAACACGTTTACATGAAAACTGCACAAGTCCATGTACATGAACTAAGTACACAGCATTTTTTGATAATCGCATCATTGATGCCAACGCACCCAGTTACTCCCATTCATCCTGGGAAGCTACTTCCAACCGCGCTGCTAACGCGAAGAAAAAGAAATACCGTCAGACCTCCGAGGACCTCCGTGGGTCGTTCACACCACTGGTTTGTTCCACGGATGGGGTGCTACATCGCGAATACGCCAGCTATCAGAAGCGACGTGCTGGTCGCCTCGCCCTCAAGTGGAACAAGCCATTTTCAATCATCATGGCTTGGGTGCGAGTTCGCAGCCAATTTGCAGTGATCCATGCAGTCGACCTCCGGCTACGTGGGTCTAGAAGGCGCCTGACAGACCTGTCAACGCAGGATGGTGCTGGGGTAGGCATCGGCCATTGAAAACTGAATTTCGTCTGTTGTACGAGGAATTTCTTGGAGTTTCCTAATGTATTGTACTTGAATAAAATTCTATTTTTGCCTTTCATGGTATCTCAATTTTTTCACGTCTACATGACTTTATTTTGCCCGTAAAAGAGGCCGTTACCCCCCCCCCCCCTCCCCAAAAAAGAAGAAAAGTACATAGCATTGCTTCCAGCTGAAGTGGACACCCCCTCGCACAGCCCCTGATTACCTCCTGAGATCCTTCCCCTTCTTCGCCATCATACCCTAACAACCTGCCTGCGGACCTCCTGCTTCACGAACCTCATTCAAGGCGCCTCCAAACCTTCAAGGTCAACGTATGTAAGGATCTAATCCAAAAGAGATGGCTGTGGTCCACACAGTACTTGTGACGATGATATTGAGAACTATATATCTACTATGTGAAGAAGAGTGTGTTGCTCCCTACATGGGAGCTCGCGGTTTTCCTGCCGACTTGAATTCTCACTTGACTGACTCACGACTGCCATCTAGAGCACACGAGAAGTCCATCGAACCTTCCACTAGGCAAACCTGCAAGAAAGCACCACTCCCTGCTCAATACACAGTGTTTCGGGGAATTCACGCCTCATCAGTTGAGCTTGAGTAGGCTGAGGAAGATTGTGCCTGAAGAGCACCACCTATAAACTGCTCTCCAGCACAAAAATCACCAGGGATACAAACTTACAGAGACGCTCCGTTTCCAGCGCGATAAACACCTCGTGAACACCAGATAGCAGCGCGAGTCAGTGTCGCTCATGGAGGTGCTGAACAAGCGCTGAGGACCGTTGGCCATTCACAACGTTGTTGCCTCCAAACCATCTAATTCGCAAGCCCGCGCTGGGGACGACAATAATAATTATGAAGAAGAGGTTGTTGCGACTTCGGCGATAGTAGGGGAAGAGTGTGTTGCTCCCTACATGGGAGCTCGCGGTTTTCCTGCCGCCTTGATTTATCTACTACTAGCACTTTTCTTGTTACAATTCTTGTTTTCTTTTTCCCTTCCGGTTTAGTTATTACATGTATTTATATTATTTAGTGCAATATTAGCGCCACTTTCTCGCACCAAATTATTATTTTTGCTACTTGACCATACAACCCCCCCTTTTTCGATGCCAGGCTGCAACGCTAACGCCGAGACCCCTCAGGGGCGTAGCCAGGATCATGGTCAAGAGGGGGGGGGGGGGGGGGATACCCATAATTTTCTTCCAATAACGTTCTTTAGGGGAATCTTGTACATGTATGCATATTGTATGCATGCTACAGTCCATTCAAAACTATAGACGCGTAGGGTTTTTGAAATATTTCAAATTTGGCTGGAGCTTTTTGAGAATAGTTTTCGGAATATTGCTCAGGTCCGCTCCACAATTACTCTCATATAGTTTCTAGATAACAGACGCCCAGTTTGGAAAAAATTCATGCACAAAGTGATCACAGATTGTATGTGGTATAGATGCTGGCATAACGGTTTTTGCCTAGGTACGCGTCGATAGTTTTGAAATGGACTGTAGTGCGGTGTACACCTTGAATTATTGATGTATTATGAATGTCTCCAGCTTGCCATTCCAACAATCTACTTCCTCCGCGTCATTAAAATTGTTGCTTCCCAGAGCGATTTTTCGAATTTATTTTGTCCACTCGAGGGGCAAAGAAATCAGCTAGAAATTGAGGCAGAGCATTGTCGACGGACCCAGCTTTAGTTTGTTGCCTCCCGCTTCGCTGCACTTGCAGCTGAGGTCGACGTCTTCATCAGAGTTTTATTATTATTGTTATTATTATGAAATGACCCAAAGGCAATGTGCCTATCGAGGAGTTCATTTGATTGAAAGAACAGTAGATGTAGATGTATGTACAAAGACAAGTAGGGATTAGAGTTTGAGGCAGACCCTTCAGCACTCAACAATACGCTGAAGAAGACGCGCGTTCAAATTCAGGTCAAGAACCTTCGTTTTCATGCGGTCGATGCCTCCAGGTGGCAGGGGATGAAGCCAAGCTAACATTTTTCAAGTACACTGTAACGACCTTCCAGCGGTGTAGGGTAAGCTTATCCGTTGAGACATAAGTAGTGCACTGGTGATCCGTGAGTAAAATCGCTGCAAATCGCTAAAATAAAACGTCTCTAACCGGTTGACAATGGGAAAACCCTAAAATTACCCGTTCTACAGTATAGAGTATTTCCCTGATTATAAGGCGCATACTCTTCTTTTCCTGAGACGTTATCGTGAAAATGTGAGACTGATATTCGGTGAAATACGGAAAGAGGTAGAATAGCTTTTACGGTTTCACGACAATACAATTATTTTTGTTCCTTTTGGTGCTACTCAGCGATGAAAGCCCTTACCAGTGGGTGGACGAAACGTTCGTGGACTACTCTAACTGGCTTGCTGGCCACCCCACACCCGGCCTGAGCGCACCGCGGTGCGTGGAGATGTATCAGTTGCCTGCGTCCCACGTCGGGTACGGCAAGTGGCGAGACACGAACTGCATGACGCAGACGCTGCCTTCAGTTTGCGCCAGAACAGTAGGTGAGTAGCATGGCGAACATCCTTTCCAGCAACTCTGAGCCTACCCCAGTACCCTTACCCGTGCATGCACTCTACGGTAATTCCATCACCGTCATGTTGTAAAAAAGTAAAAAATAAAATACGATAATTCCATCGAGCCGGTCCATGTCAATCCCATCGCATCATATCACCTCACATAATGTGCGGGGCAGGGCCTGCCATAAGACAGTATGGATTCAAACTCGAGTCAATCCTGTGAAAGACGAATGCACCAAATGATTTGAACCATGGTCCATGTTGGTTCGACTGACCACCTGTTAAATTCCAAAGATAAGACATCACTCGACTAATCGTGGTTAAGGGAACGAGATGCATTGACAGTGGGTGACTTTGGTATCCTGTGTAAATGGATAGAAACCCATGCGTGACAACTTTGAAGGTACAATACGACTCAATGCGGACATGTTCCTCGTTCACCTCACCAAATATTTTGACATGCCTCCATCCTTGTTCTGTGAATTTTAGGAGTTTGGTGCACACGCACTCTGGTGAATTCTATTTGCACAGGTCCAGAATCCTGCGCTATTCACCAAGCGACGTTCTCATCGTTGTGCTTCCGACTATTCCATACACACCCCGCTTGTTCTGTGATAATTTTATACTCCGATCCTGGCTGTTCAACGTTGGAACAGACTCTTGTGCGGGCAAGCAAAAACGCAATACAGTCAACTTCGCTTATACCGACACCCGGCGGGGCATCAGAAAAGTGTCCTTAATCGAGAAGTGTCGTTATACCCGAAGTCTCATTATGTGTTACAGTTGGATGGTACTTTTCTCTGGGCATGGAAATTCTGTCGTTATTCGCGAATCGTCGTTATATCCGCAGTCGTTATTAGCGAAGTGGAGTGTACATCAAATTCAATCAGAATGACAATAAGGAAAATGAACACAAAGTGCAGCGGAACTCAATATCATTTGACGAAGCCTCTTTAACGGGCAAAAGAAACACAAATTACACAAGGGATGAAAATGCAATACAAATTCAAACCCAGAAAACCAGAAAAGGAAAAAAATGTAAGCCAAAAGAAAAAAGGTTGTTCAAGCGTTGTCAGCTGTCAGTTGTCTGATTATTCACTAAGATCATGAAACTACTAATAATACTTGTACAACAAAGAAGCATCGTGCGCTGTGCCTTGTGTGCTTTAAACACACGTGGAGTAACATTATAATTGTTATATTCTGCCTTAACGTCAGCATCTTCCATTGTTGATTTCTGTTCACCACCACTCAGCATAAGCGAAATCATCAATCATTCCAAAATGCAAATAATAATAATACTTCGAAGTAATATTCTACACTGCCTTCGATTGGTTGGATTATGTATCTTGTTGAGGTGCGGACGAGCTGATCCCGGAAAATGACCATCAGGTTGAGGCGGCGCTGATCATGGCTGGAAAAGTGGGTGAGTTTGGCTGAAGCAGAGTGTTGCACTCTCCGGAATTATAGATCAGTGGAAAGTCAAACTTTACTGGGGGGCAACAAAAGAAGCAATCATTATAGAGGTTAAGATGCACTTTATTTCTGATGTGACGCGAAAGTTCAGCTCGTGTTATTTAGCTCGCCCTTCGAAAACTAACGCGAGTGACCTGCAGCTTACGTCGAAATTTGAAGTTTTACGTCAAATTTGACGTGAAATTACGCGTCACGTGGGAAATGACGTGAATTTTCAGCCTCTCTATTTACAATGGTACTCTGGTAGGAGTTTTTTCTGTCCATGTGTGTGCACACACATGGACAGAACGAAAGTGAGTGTTCTTAGTATCCAAGCTACGTCTTATCTCAACCCACTTGGTCGGATGAGCTTACTGGGCCCCACCACCACACTCCATTATTCACCCCAGACAGTGTCTGGAGACATTATGTGGATTTTGTAGAAAAAAATCAGTATGGTACAATGCATAACAATGTGGGTCAGGGTCACAGACTAATACCAGCATGTGTACACCGTCACTAACATAGGTTTGAAGCGCTTACCATAGCCAACACACTGGTATAGCACAGAAACCAAACAGTTACGCTTACTGTTCAGGGACGCTTTGTCCGCCTCCACCGCGTCAGAATCGACAGTTTTTCACGGAACAAATGTTACCATGCCATCAACCTGCTCCTTTATAGGTGGGCCACTACTGTTGTTTCAGTATTCTAAACGGATTGCCATGTACGGAGGCATGAAGTGAAAATTGTTTGGTTGTGCAACTTTCTTGAGAATAGTTTTTTCAACAAGATCTTTCTTTACAGCTACAAAGTGTGCAGCCTCAAGACTTCTCCTGGACCTATAATCATCTTCTCAAATTTGTTATACTGGAGTTTCAAGGTACAGTAAAACCTGTAACTAAAGACCACCGTGATTAACGACCAGCCTGGTACTACAGTAAAACCTGTAACTAAAGACCACCGTGATTAACGACCAGCCTGCTACTACAGACCACTTCGCCAGGCACGGACGGTCTTACTTTCATGTATGGTTGTGCGGTGCAGACGTCTAGCTAAGGGCCACCTGCCACTAAAGACCGCTTTCTCTGGCCACCAAGGGGTGGTCGTTAGTCACAGGTTTTACTTTACATGTGTTCTCAATCCGCTTGTGATCTGTTGCGACTGTGTTGCAGGTAAGAATGCGGGAAAAACGCAGTGTATGGGCTCGTCCATGCAATACAACCTTTCCTACAAGATCGCCCATCCTGGAAAGTACTCTCAACCGTGTCTGTACGGTGATCAGGGCGGACAGGCCTATGCCAACTTCATACAGACCTATCGTGGTGATCAACGTGCTGAGCCAGGAACGCACAATGGACCGCTGTCCAGCAGGTAGACGACTGATAGCCCTGAACTCCAGGCATCACACTGAAAAACATTTAATTTAGAAAGAGTATATAAATTAAACAAACGGCGAGGAGACAGTAATTTGATAACCGCAATCAATAAGACAAGCTGAACCAACACTTGTCTCCCCTAGTTTACATTCGTTCAGAAAGTAGTGGACATCACGCAACTGCATTGTAGATAAAAGGGGGTTTGTCAACTGACAACCGCTCTATTTAGTTGCAATTCACTCTTGGCGCATGCGCTGGATGAAAATGCTTTTATTAGTGATGTCGGAAATGATGGACATTTCGGGCCAGTCACCCATCGTCAGAACAATTGACAAGGGGCAGTTCACATCGCATGAAAAAAGTACATGTATAGACAAATGTGGATTCAGCCTGTCTTATTGCATGTGGTTAGAAAAGAATGCAACACGATTATGTGAAGATAATTTAAACGACAAAAAGAGAGAAAGGAGAAAAGACCAAGGAGCTACAAGTTACGCCATGCTGTCCACTAAGACCACCAGTTACTAAACAATCAGCTCATGCGATAACATTGCACGACACTGACACTGACATTGACACTGACACTGACTGTAGTTCCTTGGCCCTTTCTCCTTTCTATTTTGTATAAATTAAACCTTGGCTATCCATCCGAGTCCATTCCGACAAAAAGAGAGACAAAAGAGAGTTTTCTCACACATTCTGTGATAAACCTCATAGTGCATTGGCGCATGGGCCTCCGTGCTCCCCTCCTGTAATGTGCTAAAATTAACACCATAATTATTTGGCATGTACCCTCCCTTCGCAGAACACAATGGCGCGCTCTTCTTCTCCGTGATGTGCACAGTTGCACCTTCTCTCCCCCCTCTGCATAGAGGTGACATAACTCGCATAATTGTTTTTGGCGCTACACTCTAGCAGCTCTGCGTAACGCTGTGGCACGCGCCCTGATTTCACAGTGCGCGCTACCTTCTGCTGCTTCTTCTCCGTGATGTGCTAGTTGCACCTTCTCTCTCTCTGTCCCCTCCCTCCCCCTTCTGCATACTAGGTGACATAATTCGCATCTTTTTTGGCGCTACACTCTGCGCATATACGGCTCTTGTGTGGCTTCCACGGTATTCATTGTTATTACCTGACGATGGCCAAGTGCCTAAACGTTGTAAAAATAACGGAACTGGTTCGGATGTGATGTGCAGCGCTATGGGAATGGGTGTGTCCACCCGAATTATTTTCACAGATGAAACTGCAGGAAGCCTCCGCCCTTCTTCAAACAAAAGAGAGTGTCTGAATTATTAACATAGCCAGCAACGTGTAAAGGATGTATCCATTATCCGAGTCCAGTATTTACTATAACATGATTTGAACTTCCGGCAAATGACGTTACCAAACTAATGATAAATGCACATGATCCATGTACTGGATCACAGAGTAGTTCCCGGAGTAGTTCTCAGAGGCGTGCCCGAGGAGTTAACAACAACGATTGGTGCTCTGTGATTCGTCGGTGATCCTTGCGGGTGGTATAATTATGCCATTCATAATTTCTATTTGTGTTTAATATACATATTGCATTTTTACGCGCCGATTCAGAGAGATCGACTTGGCAAAGGGGTTCCTGGAAGATTGGAGTTTGGGAATAAGTTTGTAGCGTAATGCCAATGTTGCCCACCACAGCAATGAGGCAGAACTTCCGGGGTGTAGACGTTTGAGGCATTCTCTTTATGGACTCGGATGGAAAGCCAAAGATTATTTTATAGAAAAAAAGGACCAAGGAACTACTTTGAACTACAACTTGTAACTTGTAGTTCCTTTCCTTTCAATACATTTTCTGTATATTATCTTTCAAGCTCCATTTCCTTGTTTCTCTATTCAGATGTCGCTGTGCTGCCAGAGCTGATGACGAACATGATCAATGGGTGTTCGACTTTGGTTACACGGATTGCGGCACACACCGGATCATCGTCACTGATGCCCGTCATCGCTCAGACAAGGTAAGAGGGTGGTATGGACGTTGTAAGAACGAATTGGTTATTTTATTACGCTGGGTTTAGCCTCATATTCTTTGTGCAGTAGTTATTGAGGAGAGAGATCGAGAGAGAGGGAGAGAGGGAGAGCGAGCGAGGGAGAGAAGAGAGAGAGAGATAGATATAGAGAGAGAGAGAGTTAGAGAGAGAGAGAGAGCCAGGGTGACAGACAGAGAGGCAGAGGGACAGGTAGAGATAGAGAGATAGAGAGATTTTGAGACTCCCCGACATTAGTCAGAAAATACAAAAAAGGAGACTCGAAAGACGAATAGGAGAACGGAGATTATGGTAACAGACCATTGAATTTGAAATAATATCAGTCTCATCATTTGGGTGAAAATTATTGATGGTAAATATGGCATTCCAACAGTGACAAGCAACACCCGTCAAATAAAACCAAAACAAACCGAAAAATAGAATCGATCTCGGGGCATTAAATTGAAATTCCCCTGATCTGTTTCCATTTCATTTTGGAGAATCCTTCAAATAATGTCTAAATGGAATGAAATGAGTGAATGAGATGTATTTCCAGACGAAATTATTTTCAGAAAACTGAGACATTTCAACAATTGTTGTGGCCTGCTTTTCGAGGATTAAGTTAATGGGGATTGCTGAGTTGCGCTGAAGTACTCGTTCTGTGCTTTTAGATAACGTATGTGGAAAATATAAACGCCACATTTGCGTTCGTATGGCAGAATTGCTAGCATTGCCTTTTTCTTTCTGCTCTCACTGTACCCGCGCGTTTAGATCACGTACGTGAACAATATCTATGCGGGTTCACTGTCGTCTGGTAACACCAGTCTTGCTCAAAGTGATCCATCCGACTACCGACACATCACGCTGCAGTGTTCACTGGATGCAGTGCTCTTTGTCTCCACGTACGGATATTTAATTGACGTCTACTCTTCCTCCGTGTTTGTACTGGAAAGTGGAGGATCGTTCACAGCCAGCAGTTACTTTGTCAGAAATGTAAGCCATCGTTGGGAGTTGTGGCTTCTAGGGGGCTGGGAACGGTAATATGTACTTGTGTCTACCAGAACTCGAAGCACAGAGAAAATAATTAACTTGATGAAAATAGAGCACGAGGATCACCAATAACATTGGCGCGCCTGGTTGTGATGAAGCCGAGACCCAAAGTTGTCAGAGCATCCCAGACCACGCCACCACTCCCCTTATTCATGGCTCACACATGACGGGTTTACGTGGCTCTAGTAAAAAAGACAAAAAAACAAAAACAAAGAGCATGGCTTCTTTCTAACCGGTGTGTCGGTAAACTCCAACGTGACTGAACCTGATTATTTCTAAGAGTAACTGCATTGCAAAAATGGAAATGTCTTTGTTGTTGGACTCGAGGGCCCAGGATACAGTAGTAAAGAAAAACGCTCTCGCATGAGCTGATTGTTTAGTAACTGGTGGTGGCAGTGGACGTCTTTATAGCGTAACTTGCACATGTAGTTCCTTGGTATTTTTCTCTACTGTAAATTTGTCTTTGTTGTTGGTTCACATATTTCTCTATTCACTGCGATGATTTACTGTAAAACCGGACAGTTTAACAATCAAAATGTTCAACGTTTTTGTAATTTGGGCATGATAACGTGCAGAATGTTTAACGATAGCTACCTGGCCACCCATATGCATGCGCATCTTTACACATACATCTCAAACTGGGTTCGCTATCCAGTTTTTCCAAGTAACGGAAAATAACTGGTCGTTGAAACGACTTTGTGACTCGTTAGACTTTCTGGTTTTACAGTTGTGTTACTTGTATATCCTCGTTGATTGCGCAATGAAGCGGTTCAGTCCAACGCACACAGAATATAACGTACAGTGTTACTCAATCAAATCCGATCAAATCACTCAAGTACGTGCAGGGCGAAGCGCGGCCCTAGACCTGCGACCACTGGGCTGCGAAATGGTGAAAGGCGAACACGTGAATGACTATAAATTTACTATAGACTAGCATGAACTATCTTCGAGGATCCTGCGTAATGCTCCACCAGCCACTTCACCTCGGACAAAACGCGAGAGGTTGGTTGTGTTGAAATTCCACTGAATGTTACAACCTTGCGTGAACCCAGTGTAACACCACGCACACCACTATCGCCCTTGAAACTCGTAGCTGCTTGTTATGTGCTGAAAGGCCACTCTTGGTCTAACCAGTGGACTGTGCAGAGAGTGAGTTTTGTACAGTGCTGGCAACTGAAAGACCCCCTGAAAGCAACGGAAAGACTGACTGAAGTCCGACCCCCTTGCCGGCGCGCCGCGCCGCCAAGGGGGTCGGATTTCAGTTGCCAGCACTGTAGGAAGATACATGAGTAGAAATGTGCAGTTTTAAAGTTATAAATGTACTGTTACAAATGTACTCCGGAGCGACTAACTCACTTGTAAATGAATACAAGTGATATGTACATCTACTACACTGAAACTTGTCTAAGACGACCGCTCGAGGGACCTCCAAAGCGTGGCATCCGAAACCAGGTGGTCTCCTTATCCAGGTTCATCGGACCGGAAATGGCATCCATTGGTCCTGCTTGCAATGGTCTTCTTGGACAGGTGGTCGCCTTTGCAGGATTTACTGTACTAGATAATTGGCTCATCAGGAGCATGATACGCGCGGCACGTTAGCTTTTGTTGCATTGCTGCCTTCGCCACCGAGCCAGCCAATCATTGAGTGATGTACATGTATATGTATATCCCTGTGTTTGTGCAGGCTCGCCCAGTGGGTCGTAACGAAACTTCTCCCATCACCTTCACCGTTGGTCTCCCGGTGACGTATGAGTTCTCACTGGAGACCGAGGACGATCTCTACCTTCATCCAATGCAGTGTTGGATCTCTAATGGCGATCGGGAGTATTATCCACGAGTTGTCGCTGTCTTCAATGGGTGAGTCCTTGAAGTTTTGGCTGCTACTCATTTCACAGTGTTACGTCATACATTGTACATGTATGTTTGAACAGGAGTCATGTTTGTAGCCCCGAGAGGAGCAAGGCCTGGTGATGGAAACCATTTTATTATCGTTCAGACGAGTGCACAAAGGCCGACCGAGTTCTGTCCGCAGATTTCATGTACAAACCGTACATATTGACAAAGTGATGTGGATCGGTGTCCGTTGCTGTGCACAGAGCAGCACAAAGCCATGTGTATTGCCTACTCTAGCGGCAACGGCAACCATTGTTTTGCACTGGACCTGTATTTGTGGTACTCGCAAACCACACTGTAGTTTTAATTCTGTGCCGTTCTCTCTCAATCAGTGACCAGTGGTTAGAGTTCACGTGTCGGCTTCTGACGTTTCTGTACAGTCACATGTGTATGGTAAATATTGCAGCCTGGGGATATTGACTTTGCATTGTGTTGTCCCGTACAGATGTCCAAGCAAGGAGAACGTCAATTTTGCTCCGACTCAATATCGACTCGATGAAGCAACCAACACGTCATCCAAGTATTTCCAGTTGTCGCTGGTGGCATTCGCTCTTCAGAATCGCGAGGAGAACGTGTATTACCTACACTGCACAGTGCGAATCTGTGGTGCCGGAGATGGAGAAGAGGTACGATTTTTCAAAGAGTGAATTCTTGCATTGCATGGTGCTGGATTCGGGTTCTTTGGTCAGACTCCTCTCGTGTACAAGTACTGAGGGCCTTTTATTGAATATTAGTGAGTCAATTATTATTATTATTATTTTGCTTGTTCGCGTTGGCATCAACCTGCATAAAGCAGGTATATAGCCTTCGCTTAAGCTGCCATAAAAAAGAAAGCTCATCCTAAGCGAGAGGGCTAGAGGGAAATATAACGATAACGAGATACAGAATACTAAGAAATCCAATGAGTTCAACGTACAATTCAAAACAAGAAAGAAAGGAAAGAAAAACAGAGCCGAATCTACCTATTGATCCATCAATCGACAAAGGGGACTAATCCGTTAGTGTTGCAAAGTAGAAGCTGATTATAGTTGCAGATCTCCAGGCCAGGGCCAGCATATTGCCGATTCTGGATAGGTCTCCGCAGCATTTGATGTGGTAATTATCATGTTTGATAAAATTGTTAGAGTATCTAGTATCTAGAGTACCGAGTATCTAGTATCTAGAGTATCTAGTGTAATTGTATCCGTTATTATTGTTAAGGGTATCTAGTGTAATTGTATCCGTTATTATTGTTTAAAAGGGTATCTAGTGTAATTGTATAACTTCAGCCATTACACACAGCACACGTTAGTTCCTTCCACTTTCGACGATCCTGGGCGAGCTGCCTCAGTGCAACTAGATCCTCGTGTGATGTGAGGGAGTTTGTGGATCTGGAATTTTTCAGGTCGTTGTTGATGGATCGCGGGAGTGTTGTTCTCGGGCGGCCTCGGAACCCTGAGCTTCCTGGCTGAAAGTATGCTGACATAGCCTGCTGGACCGGGGATGAGGTGTCTAGTCGAAGCATGTGGCCAAACATTCCCCACCTAGCAGACTGGATGATTCTGCTGAGTGGCTTGGAGCCAGGGCGCTTGTACAGTGCTTCATTGCGTATTATACGGGGATATTTGACCCCTATGACTGCTCGTAACTGCTGGCGGTGGAACGAGTCAAGTTTCTTTTCTTGAGTCTCTGTCAGGCTCCATGTGCCGCAGTTATAAAGAAGTATTGGGAGAATAAAGCTGCCGTATAACCTAATCCGAAGGGGTTCACGGGCATGGTTACCTTTTAGCCATATCACCCACAGCTGATGTAAGGCGCATGTTGCTAGACGTTTTCTCCGACTGATATCTTCCTCCACTCCAAGCATCGATCCTAGTTTGACCGTGTTCCGCCATCGCTCGTCTACTCTGTCCTTTTCTCTTTTAATTGTAGTATATTCGGTTTTGGCTTCATTCATTTTTAAATTGTATTCCGCTAACGAGGATGATAGTATGGGTTGATTGTCATGCAAATATTGTAGGCTGGTGCTGATGAAGTCTACGTCATCCGCATACGCTGTTTCATTGGGCAACTGAAGCTGAAAATCCAATGCTGGTCGCGGTGAGAGTCGCTCTCGAATCAACCTCAATGCAGCCTCGAGGTAGACAGTAAACAGGACTGGCGATAGAGAATCACCTTGTGGGGTTCCATTATGTGTGACTAATGGTTGGCTGAGAATGTTATTCAGCTTTACTTTTATTGTGGTGTCTGTCAGAAGGCACTGGATGATGTGCAGCTCATCATGATCAATGACTGTTGACAGTATATCGATCAGCCTGACCCTTGATATAGTGTCAAATGCCTTTGACATATCAATGCCTAAGATTGAGATCTCCGACGCAACACGCTGGCATCTTGCTGATAACCACCGATAGCTATATACCACGTCTCCAGTACTTCTCCCTGACCGGAACCCGCTCTGGTTCAGTGACAAGTACCCATTGATAGCTGGCTTGATCCGCGTCAGGATGACCAATGAAAGAAGTCTACGTAGGGTGTTCAACAGGGTAACTGGCCTTACATTTCCAGGAGGACCTCTTTTCTTTCCCGGCTTTGGTATCGGGATCAGTAGCCCATCGCCTAGCTTGAGTGATTTGTCTTTGGCATAATTGTTGAATGTAGTGGCAATGTTCGAGAACAGTGCTGGTGTTCCATATTTGATAAGTTCAGCAGGTATCCCATCTGGTCCCGAAGCTCGGCCATTATTCAAGCGCTTAGCTGCGGCATGTACCTCTGGCTGCTTTATAGGGTTTTTAAGGTCTTCCTCTGTCCGTAAGAGCCTAGATGACTCCAGAGCAGGATCACAGAATATAGCACGGAAGTGTTGCCTTAATGCTTCGACTGATTCACTAGGTTGTGCAATGAGTTTGCCATCAGAGTCTTCAACCACAACTGGTGACTGCTGCTGTCGGCGCAGTAGTCGTGTTGCGTTGAACATTTTCGCGTCGTCTTTCATTTGGTCTATTTCAGCTACACGTTCGTCCAGTCGAGTCGATGCTAACTTGAGGCATTCCCGGCGAATTTGGTGTGCCAGCCTGTTGCGTCGCGTCTTCATTTCTTTTACCTTCGTTCCATCTCTGCACACCGTAATGTCGAGACGCAGTTTGCGTTTCTCTGCTGCTAGCTTTTCAATTTCCCCGCTGAAGCCATTTCTATGCGTCTTGTTTGTTTTAGGGACGCGGCCCACCGATGTGTTTGCTGCCTCACTCATAGCGTTCACAATATACTGCAGATGTTGCTCCGCATTGACACCTTCCTGCTCTCTGCCGAGGTCCTGTAGATGTTCGTTGATAGCCTCTCTGTACTTTGCTTTCTTGGTCGGGTCACTAAATTCCGATATATTGAATTTTGCGTTGCTGGATATGGCTACTGGCGGCCTCTTGAGCTTCTTGTACAACTTAGTCAGGTTGAGGTTTGCCAGCACAAGACGGTGATCGCTTTCTAAGCTTGTCCCGGCGTATGATCTGGCATCCGTCACCACAAACCTTTCACTGTGACGGCAAAGGATATAATCTATTTGGTTGTAAATGGGTAAAGGTGGACCTCCACTAGGGTTGTGGCGCCAGCCTGTCCATGTGGTGATATGTTCTGCACGGTGCTGAAACGCCGTGTTACAGGCAAATAGGTAATTGCTGGACGCGAAATCAGCCAAAGTCTGGCCGCTGTAGTTGCGATGGCCCCTTGAGTGTGAACCAGCATAGGATACGGAGCGGCAGTCACTGGGTGGTCGTTTCCCAAGTTTTGCGTTGAAGTCTCCCATCAGGAACAGCAGCGATGAAGACCTTAGTTTTTGAATTGTTTCCAGCAAGCTGTTGTAGAACTCGTCTAGGCATGAATGGTCTGCTGCAACGCGTGTTGACGTCGGGGCGTAGACATTTACAAATGAGCACAGCGTTCTCCCGGAGAGCCATAACTGTAGCACGGCGATACGGTCCGACACCTGCCAATATCTATATATTCGGTGCAGTAACTGCTTTTCCACCACGAATCCGAGTCCATAATGTCGACACGACGACGAGAGACACAGTAGACGGTAGTTGTCAATATTTCCATCGTAGCCTTCGGAGATTTTAGTCTCCTGAAGACAGCAGAGTCCAACTCTGTATTTATTGAGGTCTGAAATAAGTTGATTTTTTTTGAAATTTGAAGTAAGTCCACGGACGTTGAACGTACCAATGCGAAACAAGCCCTCGCCTTTTGCTCCACTACTCAAAATACTTCCACAAGCTTGCCTGTTTCCTGGCGAAGAAGACATTACCCATGGGCCAGCCGAAGCTGACGGCCATGACCGAGCGGCGTCACTCGCTCTCCAATTACGGGACCGATTTCTTTGTTCTCATTTACAGAGCTTGCAGTGACTAACTCACTGAGCCAATATAAAATAAATCTAGCGGACAACGTAGCCCCTAGAAGTTAGAATCCGCTCCGTGCACTAAAAATCGGAGCGCTCTTATTAACTGTGATATGCATGGGGAACTTTGCACTACTATAAACGATTGTGACGCAAACCGGAGCAAGTCACGGGGCTCAACCAAGCCTGAGCGGGCTAGCGTCATACTGGCTGAACAATGTTTACACAAGTGAAATCCTGGTATGACAGTGGCCAGTGTCTGTGAGCAAAGAGTAGGGACTAGGCCTTGGGCTGCTATCGCGGAGCCATGTTTTGTTTTTGTTTTCATTTTGACTTCGACCAGTATGACTTCTACAGTATTCACTTGGTCCTGAAGGTTCGACATGGAATCATGAGAGTGTGGAGAGCTCCTAGTAGGCATGCCATGGCATTCACTAAACCAAATCAGAGAGGAGCTAACAACTGCCGTGTTGTTGAAGTTGAATTATCCAAGAGGCTTTTTAAAAATTAAATCATTTTTCTTTTCCTCTTATTCGCTGTGCACTTCACAGCTGTGTCACCGGACCTGTGGCAAGAACCAGCAGCGGCAAAGGAGGGGCATGGACGCAGCGTACACGCGCAAACTTCCCGACCATCCGTTGCTCACGTTCAGCTCTCCGCCGTTTATCGTGCTGGAGCCGAACGGCGGTTCGCGGCCCATTGCTGCCTTGCCAAAGTGTGCGCTCTTCTTGCTTGTTATGCTCACATTCATATGGTAGATGACGTAGTCATACCCTTGAGCTTTGCCATACTTATCGTGATTATCAACAGGCCTCAGCGAACATTGTATCGCAACTTCGTAAGGTCTGCTAAAAACTGTCCTGTCGATGCACCGGACATGTACAATTGGACGTCGTTCACCATATTCTGAATGCTCTTATCTCGTGCAGAGATGAACTCTTTCTACGCAATAGATAGATCAAGTTCTGTTGTCAATTGAACACAGCTATCAATACTATCTTTGGAATGGGTCAGGTATCCTGAAAAGTTTTCGTTTCCACCTCAACATCGCAACTCGCTTTACTTGTTGCGTTGATATTATTCCTGTCTCCACCAAGCTGTTTAATTATCAAAGGAGTTCTCATATGAGATCGTGCCAGACATGTACTTCGAACTGCATTGTTTTTCTTAAGTAGAGCAATGTAGTTGTGCCTTGAACTTTCCTGCAAAGCCATACAAGTGCATGTAATGTTGATCCTTTGACATGCACAGCGGATCTGACGGCGGATGTCAAGTTGCTAGTGCCCGCCTGCGCCCTGCACATGATGGAAGGACAAGACGACGTGGAATGCAGAGAATATTTTAGACTATAGCAAAAGTGAGCTATGAAATATCTATGAACTAACTGCCAACCACTGCAACTAGATGACAACATTAATTTTCGTTATCCAGGGAAAAATACTGACCAAAATAATAGAGGGAACACATAATTATGATAATCCGTTTAAAATAAGGCCGGTCGAGGCAGCTCGAAGCAGAGTGCTCCATGCACAAATGTGCAGAGCAGTATACACATACAACTGAGGCGAAAGGCTGTGTACATGTGTAATTGTAATTTCAAGTTTCACGCATTTCAGCGATCACCAGGCAGTGGTATTTGGCATTCAATACTGGATTCTCTACGACCTGACCTACATGTACATGTAGATATGTGGTGCTAGTGTGGACGCTAAAGGGGAAGTGCATAGATTTTTCGATTAGTGTCCAGAAGAAAGACAATTTGATATCGGTTCTAATGGCATATCTCTCGCTTCCATACGCTAAGCCAAATCGCCAATTGCATACTCACGTTGCCATAGCGACCAGCGCAGTGATGACGTATGAAAGGCTTAGCTCCACCAGAGAGAAGGTCGATTACTGCAGAAGATGTAACTTCAGATAGGAGAGTCGCCAGGAAGCATCAAATCCATCTTCACTTTTCTCAGGAAGTGGAAAGAGCAAACGGCATGGTCCTTGGTTGGGGGAAATGCTGAACGTCTGATTTGTCCCAACCAAGATTTCAGCATTTTGTTCGTCACTATTTTCGCTTGTATGCTGATGTCTCCGCACTCCAGCTTTCTCCTGTCGGTGTCACGTCCCAGTACACAATAGAGAGGCCCACTGACAAACAGTTCACTGCACCAACAGCATTGAACACAGCCCTTCTTTCACTTCGTGAATTCAATAAACCAATTGAAAACGACCAAATTCTGCAGTGATCGAACTTCTCTGTGGTGGAGCTAAGCTTTTCACACGTCATCACTGCGCTGGTCGCTATGGCAACGGGAGTATACAATTGGCGATTTGGCAAGTTTGGCTGATCTTATAGAAGCGAGAGATATGCCATTCGAACCGAAATCAAATTGTCTTTCTTCTGGACCCTACTCGAAACATCGACACACTTCGCCTTTAATGCGTATGTGTGAGTTGTAGACATGGCATGGCAAGGGTACAGTTTCATTGAGTAAGTGTGGGAGTTAACGGGTATGTGTGGGAATTGAGGCGGTAATAAGGCAGTGAGTGTTATTGAGTCAACGAAGAGATAGAGAGACCGAGATAGAGATAAAGACAGATAGAGAAAGAGAGAGAGAGAGAGAGTGGGAGGGAGGGAGAGAGTGAGAGAGAGTGAGAGAGAGAGGGAGAGAGATAAAGTGAGTTCTCTCCTTTTCATACGTTTCCGGAGTGCACAATTCGATGGAAGTCGGCTGGAATTACGCCAGCCCTTACACAGTATTCCATCGCTGAAAAATTCCAATCCCCCCCCCCCCCCATTCTGTAACAGGATTTGCACTCCATCACGCCATAAATATACAGTACAATGGCATGTGGAAGGGAACGTACCCACATTAGCTGACATGAGGTGTCACTGGGGCTTAGGTCGTCCTCCTAGGGAATCATTGTCTTGGTCTGTGATCATTATGACATTGGCATTTTCCGTGAAGGGGCTGTAGTACAGCTGCCAAAAGTGAAATCTCGTTTTTGCGTTGCAGTGTAGGTCCGAGTACCTACTTCGAGCGTAGATGGCTACTACAACCCATTCTATACATGGCCCGACCTGTTGGCTACTTGTCAACATTGCGACAGCTTCTTTATAAGGGGTTTCTTCCAGGCTGGGAAAGGATATGAGCATTGAGTACGCACACGCAGTCTCGCATTTGAGGTCATGTTGAGCAGGAAAGAAGAGGACGACGCTGAATTTGAATGCATAGAAGAAGAGGACGACGCTGAATTTTGAAATTATGCAGATACAACACAAATACAAACCACACGTACATCCACTTGGTATTGCAGTTAGGACAGGCGCGAAGTCCCTGGGCTCTTGTTTTAGTTATGGCAGAGCGGATGGTGTTCGATCATGAGTAAGTAGGACTCATGGCGAACAAGGATGCGCCCAGTAATCCTCTCGAAGGCAGTAGCTTCGTAGTGGTGCCAGACGGAAGTAATGTTGCCAAATCGTGGGATTCTTGTTTGTGCCACTGTGTGGACGTGCGTGACGATGCTCGAGTGTCTTTGTCGGACATCAGCTATAGCAGAGTTGTGGCAGCTGCTCGAGTTCGACAGGACTCCACATGGGATTTTTTCCTGGCTCAGAACTGTGCGGAAGAGTGTGCGCCGTGTCGTGGCTGGTGTCACAGACGATGTTACGCCTCATACACACACAAAAAGAGCATAAATAAGCTACGATGTGAGCAGCAGGGAAAGGAAAAGGATCAGCCCCAGCAGAATACCGACGAGTGTGAGTCTGCTGCAGACAGCAATCCCAGTAAGAGGCGCTCAACACGAAGCGCCCTCCCCAAAACCAACATGCAGCTATGTCTGTTTTGCCAGAGATCCTCTGACAAACGCGTCAAAGGTAAAGTGGAAAAGCTTACGCAATGCCACACATTTGAGGCCGGGGAGAAAATCCTAGTCGCAGCAGTGGCGTACCAGGATCAGAGGATTCAGCTGCTGTTCCAGGAAGGTGGCCCGGATTGCATTGCAGCTGAGTTTCTGTACCACCACTCGTGCTACCGCAACTACACGCATGGGAAAACCGTTGCGAACACAAGTGCCGCAAAGGGCCCGACTATTTCCCTCCGGGAAACGTTCCAGCAGGCTTTCAACTGGCTTGCTGGACATATTGAAAATGACCTCTTCTCCACGGGGAGTGCCGTGAAGGCTATACGAATGGATTGTTTGACCAGCAAGTACCAGGAGAAGCTGAGAGACCTGGGTGTCACAAGTAGCTATCGCACATTCCTCTTGAAGAAGAGAATTGTGGATCATTTCAATGATAGGGTCATGTTCGTCAGACAGTCAGTGACAGAGCCTGAGTCACTTGTCCCGGCAACTCTCACGCCACCAAGTTTGGCAACTGTCCTGGCGGAAGCTGTAACTCGTGGCAGTGCCCAATTACAGGAGACCGACAGCAGTGATAGTGATGTATTTGCTGTGGATGAGCCACCCATGTCAATGGCTCATGACATTTTCCATGCTGCCTTACAAGTCAGAAGTGACATCAAAGCTATCTCCCCCATCCTGCCTGACATTCCACACGCATCTGACCTCACTGAGGAGAATGCCAGTCGGTGCGTGCCAGATAGTCTTTACAACTTCCTGGCATGGGTGCTTGGTGTGGGAGACATCGAGGATTGTGACAGTGTGGTGAAAAGAGCTAAGCTGGATGCGCCTAAGAGAGCCAAGGTCTTGTCTCTTGGGCAAGATATTGTGTATGCCGCGACAAGAGGCCGCATCATAACACCTAAGAGTGTTGCTCTTCCTATGACAGTCCGCCACCTGACCAGAAGCCAGCAGTTAGTGACTACACTTAATCGTTTCGGACACGGTGTTTCCGACACTAAGCTCTCTGAGATCGAGACCTCGCTGGCAAAAGAGGCATTGGACACCGACGTGTTTGTGCCCAGCGTTATTGACCCGACAAAGAATGTTTTCTTTTTGTTGGGACAACAATGACCTTTGCGAGGAAACGGTTACCGGAGAAGGCACAACACACTGCACCAACGGCATTGTCCTTCAAAGGCAGCACGAATCTTCTACACCAGCATCCACCAATCCGCCGGCAACATCTGCATCTACAGCCCCTACTACACGCAGCAAGAGGGCAGCAAGGTCACTACCTGCACCACCACCAGCAGAGTATGAGTATGTGTCTGGACCGAGAAGAGAGCCACCCCAGCTTCCAGCACTGGACCCAGCACCATCCTCATCGAGCCACATAGGTGCACAAACTGACATGTTATGGGTATTGCTGCGCAATTGTCCTGCAGTGCCAGATGCATCATCAGAGCAATCAGACGAGGCTCAACAAACAGTGCCCAGCTGGTCAGGATTCAACTCTATGATTAGTACGTCACCAAAGTCCACAGCTGTTGGCTACTTGCCCGTCATTCCAGCACCTCCAACAGATATTGGCGTAGTGCTGGAGGTGTTGAAGCGGTCTTCAGCAATATCGCGCCAGCTTAACCAGCAGCACTGCATAATCACTGCTGATCAAGCTGTATATGCCAAGGGCTTGGAAGTGCTGTGGAAGCAGAAAGATGCTTTTCCAGATGTGGTGCTTCGACTAGGTGCATTCCACACCACCTGCTCTTTTCTGTCTGTCATTGGCAAGCGCTTTGCAGAAGCTGGCCTCACTGATCTGCTAACTATGACAGGCATCGTTGGTCTACAGTCTGTCAAGGGTGTAGTCAGTGGAAAGCACTACAATCGTGCCATACGTGTGCACAAGTTGCTGTATGAAGCATTGACACGGCTGAATTTACAGCACCTGAATAAGTCGCTCTCCAGTGATGATGCTGTCGAATGGGACAGACTTTCAGCTGTGCTCCGGAAAGTGCAAGAGACGAAGGCGACTGCAACAGTTTCCAGCATAGTGAACAGCAACGACTTTAGCCGCTTGTCCAGTCGTCTTGAGAAGCACTCTACTGATTTGCGCAAAGCCTCGCCCATGGCGGCCCTTTGGCTCTCATACTTGGATATGGTCCAGCTTCTTCTCCTGTTCCTCCGTGCGACGAGGACACAAGACTGGAGCCTTCACCTGGCCTGCATTCGCCGCATGCTGCCATGGTTCTATGCTTACAACCACACAAATTATGCGCGCTATGGCACCTATTACTGGGCCGACATGTCCACACTCTCTACAAGGAATCCTTCTGCCC